TGTTTTGTTTTGTTTTGTTTTGGTACTGGGGATTGAACTCGGGTCCTTGTGCTTGCAAGGCAGGCCACCGAACCGCTGAGCTAAATCCCCGGCCCTCCATGGGCTGTTCTGTACTCATCTCTGTGCATATTTATGGATCTTTTGAATGCTTGTCATCTCCCTCTTTGTGTGCTTGCTGCAAAGCCCATTGTGAACTAAATGGTGGCCCCCTAAATTGTCCATGTAGTATCCCCAGAAACTGTGAGTGTGACCTTATTGTCAAAAGGCCTGATTAAGAAACCTTCAGAGGATCCATGTGGCCCAAAATGCCATGTCAGTTGTCCTCAGAGGCACCAGGAGATGGTGGCACAGATTGGAGGGGCTGTGTGGACAAAGAGGAGGTGGTGTGAGCTGGGCCACACCAAGGAGCACCTGCAGCCCCAGAAACTGGACAGAGGAGTAGTGAGTGCCCTGAGGACCCACCACACCTAAATTTGGGACCCCTGGCTTCCTGGCCTCCAGAACTGGGAGTTTCTGTTTGAAGTCATCCCCCACCCCTTGCCAGCAGGGGTGGTTTGGAAGCCCCAGATGTAGTGTGATCTCTCACTCCTACCCTACCTGGTGTATACACCAGGGCCAGACTTGGGGCATCAGCTGGCCATGGCTGGTAAGATCAGGAAAGGCCTCCCAGGGGTGTGTGTGCTGGGGATCGTGGGACCTTGTGCATACGAGGCAAGTGCTGTACCACTGAGCTGCACACCAACTCCCAGGGCCCTGTGAGCTGTTTTCAAGGCTGAGTTGTCTAGATCAGCAGTCTCTCCTCCTTCCCAGGCTGGACAAGAGGCACGGGCACTCCATGTGCTTCAGAGGTCTAGAATCTAGATGGAATCCCTACCAGGGGCAGGCAGGGAGTCTTGGAACCTGAGTGCACGTGGCACTGAAGATGAAGACGCCTGTCAACCCTGGTGCCTGGCTTTGTGCCTGTGAGGGCAGGAAAGCAGGGTTGGGACATTTCAAGGTGCCCCCTAAGAGGCAGCTGCTGGAGTTCAGAGAGAGCACAGGCCAGTGGTTCTCAAGGTGTGGGCAGGACAGATCTCTTCAGAGGCTTCTGCAGGCTGTATCCCTTCAACCTCCATATCCATCTTTATAGGTCTTCTCGGCCTGATTTTGGGACCATGATGACACCTGATAACCTAGAATCGAATCACTTCCCACCTCAAGGTCCCCTTACCCGGTCACATCTGTAGTTTTTTGCCACATAAGATCACCTATGCATTTCTGGGGACCAGGATATAGGCACCTGCCCTTCTCTCCTGCCCAGAACAATCCTGGTGGCCCCTTGTTTCTCCTAGCCATTTCAAACTGTCCAGACCTGGGCCTCTCCTGAGCTATGCTGGGCACTGCCAGTGCTCACTCCAGTCTTCTGCTGAATGAAGAAAAGAGCCAGCTGTTCCCAGCCCTGCCGAAGAGACTCCGAGGACAGGGTCTGAAGGTACCTTTCACAGCTCTTCTCTCTAACCTCACTGGGAAAAGAATGGCAGCCCAACAGGGGTTGGGCATTTCAAGGCCAGTTTGTCATAGCCACAGGGTTCATCTGTCCTCTGTTCCCCAGCCTGGACCTATCATGAGTCTCAGGGTCCTTGTCCTGCCAGAAATGGGCGGGACAGGGTGAGATCCAAACACTTCCTCATGTCCTCCTTGGTGGCCCCATCCTGGGCACTAGATCCCAGGACAGGCAGTCTCCAGGCACCCCGACCTCAGCCTCCTAGTGCTGAGACTGAGGCCATCCTCCTGCTTGGGACTAGACAGGGAGGACTGCAGTGACAGCCTTGGTGGGCTCTGGGAAGGTGGACACTGCCTACATTAGACCTCCTGCACCCCTGAGGGCTGACCTTGTGTGCCTCCATGTTGAGTTGTCATGGAAAGTAACATCCGGCCACCACCCTTGGGAGTGGTGAGTCACGGTGACCTAGTGGCAGAGGTGACAGTCTGTTGGGCAGGACTCCACCCAGGCACACTGAAATGTACTGAGCACCAGGTAGCAGTGTACCCATGTACCCACAGATCCCCACTCAAGGAGAAACCGGAATCTTAAGTACAATCTCTCCTTTGGGAAGCTTTGCAAAAATAAGCCTCATTGAGGTCTTATTCACATACAACCAGAGGTGACAGCTTGTTTTTTAGTGTACAAACAAACTGACTTAAAAAATGCAAAAGCAAGAAAGTAAAAGATATGAAGGCTAGGAAATAAAGCTCCTACTAGCTGGGAGGGGTCCCTGAGTAGGATACCCCAGGAGGTAGCAGCTTTAAGGTAACTGCTCTGCACTCAAGGCCCCAGCAGATGCTCTTACCAGATCACAGCAGTCAGCTGACCTGAGGCTCTGCACTCAGCCTGTGGCTGATGATCGAGAGTCTCACTCAGTGATCTGTGAAATGGGAGATTCAGGCCTGATGCGGAGGTGCCTAATGGGGCAGGTGTGGGCACACATAAGTATTGAAATGCCACAGAGGGCAGAGGCAGCTCTTCATGCCCTTCAGGAACGAGACCCCTGGAAGAACATCATCCCAGCATGGGCCAGGGATGCCCTAAAGTGAGCTGAGTGGACGATGAACTTCCAACCGCACTCAGCTAGGGGTCCGGGGCAGTAGGAGCAGCCTTCCTCTCACCCAAACAGGGCTGCCAAGTCTCACCTACCTGGTGGCCTTCTGGGGAAATCTCTCAGCAACTCCATCTTCTCCAGCCCCGGCTGGAATCGTTGTGACATTTGTCAGTGGCCAGTAAAAGGAGGGTTCTGGGCTCCCTGGCCACTAGACAACCAGGTACCACTTGCAACTGGCTTCCCATTTTGCCTACAGGAGCTTTACCTCCTTTCCCTTCCCGTCCTGCTGGGGAGCAGGTAGAACAAAGCCAGGTACCACTTGCAACTGGCTTCCCATTTTGTCTGCATACACAGCAGTGCTGCTCATGGTTCTCCCCCTCACTGTTCCTCATGAGGCAGCTTGGTCCTGAGCAGCACCAGGACCACAGAACAGATCCAGCCCACTTGCTGGGGCCTAACCCTTAGCAGGTCTGCTCTGCTTCTCTGCCCCGTCAATCTGCTGGGCAGCTACCTGCCAGGAGTGCTCATCAGCACACATGCTTGTGTGTGGGCCCAGGGACAAAGGTGACACTGCTTCTCGCATCTACCAGTGTCTCAGGCTGTCATCTCACTGTCCTACAAACTGATCGCTGCCTGAGGGATGCAAGACACATTTCTGTGACTTTGGAGCAAGGCTGGTGTCTCTTCCGAGGCCTGAATGAACCTACAGGAGGCTGAGGCCAGAGGGAGGGAGGTTTCTGGGAAAGCCCTCAGCACATCTGTGACCAGGCCAGATGGGTCACCAGGCTTCCTGGCACTTTAACTGTCCCTGTTAATTTACCCAAGCACATCACTTTGTGCAACTGCTTCTCATCTCTAACTTGTAAAGCACATGTTCACAAATGGGTTCATTTTAAACACCCCAGCAGAAACTTGAGAGCTTGTGGACTAATGACTGCCTCCCTGGTCAGTGAGCACCCACCCCAGCACAACCCCACCATCCCAGGTGGGCAAGGAGGGGCAGTACTCCAAGCCAGCAGGCTCTTCCTAAGGCCTGTCATCTGGGGGAATGGTCCCTGACTCACAGGCAGCCAGTTTCCCTGATACTTCATGGGATGGGGACAAGGGAGTAGTGTGCAGTGACATCCTGCTCTGCTGCCCCTGGGGACATGTTGCAGGCACATCTACATCTAAGCCTGTATCCAGCTCCTTGCAGCCTTTTTGGTGGCCTCCAGGACCCTCTGCCTTCTTGCTGCTCCCAGGGAGAAGGAAGCCATACAGGCGGGCTTGGGACCATGGCAGGAAGGTCTGGCTGGCCATGTGGAGAGATACGTGCTGGCTCCACAGCCGCCACCTCCTGGATATGGTTTCAGCTTAGCTGGGCACTGCCAAAGCTAGGATTCTCAAGGTTAGGTCATTGAGCAAGAGCCTTCTGCACCCATGAGGGCTGACCTTGTGTGCCTCCATGTTGGGTTGTCATGGAGGCAGTAGGTGTTTCTGGGTGGAGCTCTTCCCTCTCATTAGGAGAGGAAGAGACAGGAAAGCACCTTAAGAGAAGACATCCTGTATGGGCTTTGTGAGGGAGCTTCCCTCCTGGACTCTTCTGGGGCTATAAGGCTCACCCCATGAGCTCTGGGGTCATGTTTCAAAGCTCTTCCTGCAGGAGTCAAGGACCTATATCAGATGAGCCTGCAGGGGCAAACTAAATGTAGCCTCCTCCTAAAAGGGAGCTTTCAAAGCCTAATGACCAAATGTGAAGGCAGATGACTGCAGTCTTGCACCCACATGCAATAGGGGCTCACAGACCAGCAGGATGTGTATCCACTTGTGAGCTGTCAAAAAGACCCCACACAGTACCAGCTTCATGTTTCACAACTTTAATAGAATATTCTAACTATTCTGTACAAATTGAAAACACTGTATTCAGTTACAAATGTGTTATTAGGTAAGGCTGAGCACTCTCTACATACCTGGTCAGCGTGGACATGCTGTCCCCAGGTGCCAGAGACCACTGCCACATATTCAAAAACCCTACATACCAGCCACCAACCAGTCACACGAAACCCAGGGCTCTTAAGACAGGATGACTGGTGGAGTCCAGAAATGGGGGTTACCAAGAAAGCAAGATGGAACATTCACACACTGGACTGAAAAGCTGTACTCTGCAGCCCCTTCCATCCCCAAAGACCTTCCAACAGCAACATGTGGTCCACATGTCACAGAACAAGCTCTTGCCCTCATCAGCTGGCTGCAGAAAGCAGCACAGGCCATGGTCCTGCTAGGAGACAGCACACCCTCCTGGTCAAGTCGCCGATATGGTTTCATCAATGGTAAGGATGAACAACAGTGTAAATTCAAAATCCTTCAAGCACAATGAATAAATAAATACAAGGGTATCACTACAGCTCCTGCCTCAGAGAAAGTGTGCGCCACAACCTACCCAATCCCTAGCAAACTAAAACACAAGAAAAACACTCTAAGTAAACACAGCCTTAACTTTACTCAGCTCTTCTGAGATGATTAGGATATAATGGCTGAAGCAGCTTCCGAGCAGTAGGGTCAGTGGTGGAAACGGGTTTCTTTGAATCAAAGAGAGGGACTCAGCCAGTCTGCAGGAGAGGCTCCAGGAGCCCTGAAACTGAGTCCTCAGACCTCTGTCCTTTCCAGGAGTGACTTCCCCCATTCCGTGTGGTGTGTGGACCTTCTCAAGGGCAGGGCCTAGGCAGGTCCAGGGCTGCAGGCACCAAGGCCACAGAGGGTGCTAGAACTAAACCTCCTATTTCTGAAATGCATTTCAGTTGCCACTGTACAAGTTAAGCAAAATAAGAAGGAAAAGGAAAAGTGAAAATCATGCACTTGAAAACGCATTAGACGTTATAAGCACTGTCCATATGGTGTGCTGCAGCGAGGCCTGAGGCCCTGCCACAGCTGGGTCCTGACAGCCATCCCGAGGTGCCCACTCCTCACTGCTGCTTGCATTCTGCCGGTTGGCTGGGCTCTTTCTGCAATGAGAAGACAAGACTAATAAAGAACAAAAGTAGTGTTATCCACCAAGTATCCCCAACCCACAATGAAAACTAACACTCAATTAGTTTATTCATTCTTACTGAAAGAAATGGTAGCTTTTTAAAAAACAGCTAATTCCCCAAAGAAAAGTCAGAGTGGGGCTGCCTTTTTGTCATGGTTTTTATAGGAGGGTCTCCTTGGGGCTGCAAAGATAAATTACTACTAGACGGGGGGTTCAATTATCAGATGCTGGGAGGCAGCTGCACCCAAAGAGAAGTAGCGATGGCTGGATACCTGCCAGGACTTACTCTGCCCTGGGGGATGTACAGAGCCATGCCATGCTCAGGCCCACAGGCCTCATCTTTGAAGTACAGCTCTGTTCCAGGAACAGCTGATGCTGAGGGAAGGTATCCCTTCTAGTGGAGCTTCCACTTTTCACTCTAGGAAAAGTGCCCGAGCAGATTCACACTACTGACAGACTGGAATCTGGTCACCATGAAGAGTTGCACCCACTACACACAACTCTCCAACAGAAAATTAAATCCTTCCAGTACAGGCATCCAGAAAATGTCCCTTGCCAGCAGAACAACTTAATAAAAGCTAATGAAAAAACCTTGTACCTTTACAACCACATTTAGGGCCCCACGGATTTTGTGTGGAGTCCAACAAAAGCCTAGGAAATAGATAATGATCTCACCACTACTTCTGTACACTAACCTATTATTCAAAATTCCTACTAGTTGACATTAAATTACTCTGACTACAACTGGGCAAGGCCACAGAGTTGCTAAGAAAATCTCGCACTATGTGGTTTAAATGAACATCTGGGCAACACTACCGACACTTAAAGGATGGAAAAATACATATAAAGCAGGCATAAATGCACCAAGGAAGAACCTCAGGCCCTTGTCTAAGCTCTGCTGATTAAGTGGAACGGAAAGAGCACAAGAACAAGCTCAGACTCTCCAGTTCTGGGATTGAGTCTCTGTCCAGCACAGTGGCATGCCTCTTTAGGAGGGTACCCCCAACTTCCTTGCCTGTGCTCACCTGCCTTATAGGCTGTCCAAGGAGTCCAGGACTAGGACTTAAAGAAATGACAAAAACCTGAGCCAAAATGATACTAAAGTTAGGCAGCGCAGTGTGGTTTCCAAGGGCACAAGGATAAGAAACGTGCACCAGGGAGAGGACTGTCTATCAAATGGGGACTGAATTGAGTCCTGGGCTATACGCCAAAAGCCAGAACCAGGATGCAGCTCAGAGATAAAGCACTTGTTTAGCACGCATGAAGCACTGGTTCCTATCACTAGCACAACAAAAGGGGGGAAAATCAGAGGATTTTGTTAAGTGTGGAGGTGAGGGGATGAGAGCCTCTACATCTCTAAGTATATATGTATTAAACATAACATCATTCACACTGAGTTCTATGTAATTTATCCTATGCTGAATAAATAAAGTCATATATTTTCAACCACAACAAAAGAGCCTTAAAACCAAGGCTGGAGGGAACAGCACAGTGGCAAAGGGTATGTTAAGCATGTGAGAGGACCTGGATTCAGTCACCCTCACCAAAAGAACCCACAAAGAAAGCACAAAACCACTAACTTGTGTGATGAAGACTGCTAAAAGGGAAAAGTCCTCACTAAAAGATACAATGCCCGACACAAGGCTGTGAGGATGAGAAGCCACAGGAAAGGTATGTATATGGGCCTGTGAGAAACACCCTACATCTAGAGAAGCCACCTCCCTTCTGAGCAGGAGGGCAGCCTGCAACCCACCCCTGCCAGGTTGGAGCCAGTGCAGTGCATTGGCGCTTCTGCATGAGTGACAAGAGCTCTGGAAGTGAATTTTTTGCATCTAATGTTTACTGTTTTGGGCCTGTGATATAAGCCAGGAAAACACATACACAAACACACACACACACACACACACACACACACACACACACACACACACACACACACACACACACACACGCACACACACCCCTAAACCAAGCATTCTCTATCATGTCACAGATTCTGATGACACCCTGGTCACTTGATGTTAACTTGACTGACAAGGGAGGGTGTCAGCTTCTTCAGAGGTAGCAATTTAGCCCAAAACTTGCCCACTATGGGATCACTAAAGGTAGGGTTTTGGCAGATCAGAGAGCCTGACAGGGTGGAAGAGAGGCCACTAACACAGAAGTACATCAGTTGCATTGTGGAAGGAGGCCATGTGCAAAGCCCGAGCAGACTGGCTGGTGGACACAGCCCAAGCTGGCAGTGCCACTGTGGCTTCAGTAAAAGAAGGCCCCTCACTCTCAATGCTGACTGCTGATTGGTGGCACACACCGAGGACTGGCTTCAGGACAATTGCTAGGATGGATCCCAGGCCCATGAGACCTATGGGACTGGGCTGCGGTTTCGCCATAGATGAGAGCCACTTCTGACTCTGGTATGCCACCTACTCATCAGGACTGAGCACAGGGTGGAGGTGGTGTCCCAGCTTGCTGATCTCTCTGTCTACAGCTGGCTCTTTCTTCATTCAATCAGAACAATGCCACTGGCCTCACAACAGCACTTTTTACTGCCCATATTGAGAAAGATGCCAGTGACTTGGTTAAAAAATAGGCATATTATGTTTGGTTACCCCTTTATAAATGCCTGACTCAGTAAGTATAAACATACAGATGTGTGGACAAACTCCAGGGGCTGGCCTCTATTACCAGTTCTGATCCTATTGTGCAGCCAGCATAGCTGGGGGACAGCAAGACTGTGATGGTCTCTACCAGGGCTGCTCATCCATGGTGGCTTCAGTGGCCATCCTACAAGTTGCTGTCAGGGCCTCCTGTCCTGTCCTCTTCCGGGAGATCAATACTGTTATCAATGCTACCGAGTGCTACTAGGTTAGCAAGAAATCATGGGTTCAGAAAGCAGGAGACAAATCCAATTTGTTGTTGTTTGCTTTAGAAGCACAGCTAACACAGCCTTATACAAACACTGCTCCTTGGAAAGCCCTGTGGCAGCCTTTCTCCATGCTAAGTATGCCTGGGAAGTCACTTCCTGTGTCCCCAAAGTCAAAGCAATGCATTGTACAAAGTACAGACTAACAATTGCAAGTTAGGTATGAATGGATTCCACCTTACCTAGGAACGTATGAATGATTAACAGACAAAAATTACACCTAAATGGGGAAAAAAATTGAAAGGAACTGTCAGCATGAAAGAAAATGAAATGCACAAAATTATACAGGAGGAAACAGCCACAATTCTCATGATACAAAAGGGCTGCAAAGTACTAAATGTGGGCAACTTCAACAAAGCAGAGTTCTTCCTTAAAATGGCCTCAGCATACCGTCTACACTTATGACAGCACCAATATTCTTCCCTTCCTCATCTCTTTTACTTGCACAGGCTCCACTGTCAGCAATCACTTTAAAGAGGTGCACGTGAAGGAAGGGACAGAGACGTCACATCACAAGCCAGGATAGCAGGACAACCCTTTGGGCCGCCCATGCGGCAGCTTCCCACTGTACATAGCCAGAACACATATGGCTCTAGCTACTTCTCCCCACCCCTGACCAGGCTTCCTGAGGTGCTGGCAGTGTGACTCACTACTTCATGTCAACCCTCTGTGATCACAAGGTGAGATGCTCCTTTAGAAAACAGGGACCCGTGAGGAGACAGAGGCGCAGGGCGACAGGAGGATGAACACACAACAGGGAGAAGAGAAAGAAAGGAAAAGAAAAGAAACCAAGGAACAGAGCCTACAGAGACGCAGTGAGACAAGTACTGCACAGATGCCAATGATGCACTGGGTCTGAGTGTGGACACAGGAAGCTGTCACCAGTCTGTTCTCCAACTGCAACCATGACTACAGGAAAACAGGTGTAGTACTCAGAGAGCAGACACAGCCCAACACACACACGTGGCCTTCAGGTCCACCACACACCCACAGAACAGCTGAAGGTGTCACTAGTTACCCCAGCCTGTTAACTGTTGACTGGTGGCCACCACCTTCCCTGCCCCCGCCTGACTGTACTCCACCCAAGGAGCGACCTGGTCCTGTCTATGGGGCTGGGCACAGATGAGACTGTAGCACAGACTCTCCAAGATGTACAGGCCAACTTTAAAGGAGGGACTTTTCCAAAAGCTCATTCCCAGTGTGGTATTCTTAAGGCACATTTCTGGAAAGTCAAAGCCCTTCTCCCATCCTTCCTGAGGGGACCACTGCTATGTACGTGCATTCAGGGAAACGCGTGGGTGACAAACTGACTCCAGTCCCAAGTCATGAGCCTGGTAGTTTCTAGTGCACATTCCGTGTGTGGCAAATGAGGCACAAACAAAAAACAGCTGGAGACACAGGTAACAGAAAAGCAAGTTAATGGTTTACTCTGACAGCCCATCACTGTCGTCCTAAAACACATGAGAGCTGCACATTCTGTGTGCTTCAGGAAGATTGGGGTTTAAATTTTTAAAAATTATCATAAAAGATACATTGCCACAATTCTTCCTCAAAAATCTTCCCTTTTACTCCAAATTCATTTATCCCATCTTTCTTGCCACTTTGTGAAGTAGTTCTGGAAGTCTTTCCCCATGTCTTTAGTTGCTAAGTCGTGGCTACCCTGATATCCTGAACAGATTCAGTATGTTTCCCTTACTTGGCTGTTTTGACTTTGGGGAAGAGCCAGAACCTGTACGGGGCTAGATTTGGTGAATAAGGTGGATGAGGACATACTATACTGTTTTTATAAGACTGACTTTCTGCTGAATGGCACTTAGCAAAAGCATGTATTATATTTTTGATCACACCGTATAAGACACTCACAAAAAAGGAGTTCTAGGGTCAGGGATTTAGCTCAGTGATGTTGAGCTGCCTGCCTTGCAAATGCACAAGTGCAAGGACCTGAGTTTGATCCCTGGTACCAAAAAAAAAAAAAAAAAGGAGTTCTAGAACTGCTTCAGAAAGTGTCAAGAATAGCCAGATGTCATGACACATGCTTATAATCCCAGCACTCAGGAAGCTAAGGCTGGACTGTCAAAAGTTTGAGGCCAACTTGGGCTACATAGCAAGTCCCTGTATCAAAAAAACAAAACAAAATCCCAAAAGTGGCAAAAACAATGGGGTAAGTGCATTCAAAGAAAGTAGCATTATGAAGGGGATTAATGGCAATGTGTCTTTTATTGAAATAAATTTGTGACTATTCACCAGATTTTGTGATCATCCCTTATATATCCTATGCTATCTAGGGCATTTTGAGTCTCCTAAACTCAAGTGCTACAACTACAAAATTATACCTATTACTTTAATCATTAATAACATACCCCCAGGCCGGGTGTGGTGGCACACGCCTGTAATCCCAGTACTTGGGAGGCTGAGGCAGGAGGATCGCTGAGCATTTGAGACCAGCCTGGGCTACATAGTAAGTTCCAGGTCAGTCTCAACTATACAGTAAGACCTTGTCTCAAAAAACAAACAAAAAAACATACCCCCAAAAGTCCCTTTTTGTACCTTTTCAAACAGGCAAGTTCTTTCTCTTAGAATTAAAGATAAAGAAACTTTACTAAGTGAGGTAATACAGGTATCACACAGCTTTGTGTAGCTGAAAAACCCTTTCATGAACATTTATACCTAACAACCCAGTCACGTATACATTATTTATGTATTTTTCTGTTATATTTCAAGTTTCCTAATTAGAAAACAGCAAATACATATTTTAAACACCATTATCTCAAAGTGAGGATCATAAGTCCAGAAGTGTAGCATATGTAAGTTTGGGAAGCCCCAAAATAACTAACCTTGGGGTTAATTTCAGCATCATCCTCATCTTCTCCCTCCTCATCACCTTCCAATTCCTGTAGTAGAAGAAGTGAGAATTAGCAAGAAAGACTAATTTAAGGCTGGACTTAACTTCTTACAGAGTTCACTACTCTCAAAACACAGGAAAATAATCCTTTGCTTTAGAGGGAAGCCAAAGGCTGCTACAAACCAGTGACTATGTCACTTCCTTCAGACACACAATTACTTCTAGATATCTTTTTAAGATAATCTTGAAATGAGTATTTCTGAAAAGTAGATTTAAGTGATTATTTTCTAAGGTACATTTTTATAAACCAATTATAAAGCCACTGCTGCAGTCTGTGCCATGCATTCCCTCCCAGTTAGGCAGGACTAAAAGCCAACAGTGGCTTCACACAGAAAGGGCATAAAGTGGTCTGATTTCCTGAATTCAGAGAAAGCCAGAGGACATGCAACAGTAGGAATGACATTCCATATGTTTCTTACCTCCTCTTCTCCTTCCTCACCTTCTTCAAACTGGAGGGGGGAAAAATGGAAACATTTTTAGATTTATAAAACCATAATGGTAGCCTGCCCCAGATGCCAGCCCATCAAATGCCCTCAACAGCCTGGCTAGAGACAGCAGAAGCCCAGCTGTTGCTTGCTGGCAGAGGCACTGTTGGCACCACCTAGATACCCAAAGGCTGAGGCTGCAGCGCCTGGCTGAGGGACCATATGCTTATGAGTTTTGCCTTTACATAAGATGCACAAAACTGAGTCATGAAACAAGGAAGACGGGGAAAAGCAACAAAGAAGCTGCCAGCCAGGGCGTGCTGGATCCAACTATGAGCCAGGCCTTTGACTCCAGTCCCACTTTTGTCTTCAGAGAGAAATGGGGCAGTAAGAAAAAGAAACATGCAAGGTGATGAGATTTTTTTTTTCTTAATTTTCTACAAGGCTGACCTAAGTAAACCAGTAGCATAATTTTACTGCATATGGGACTTTTGGTATCACTTTTTATCTCATACAAGGAGGAAAAGACCTTTATTAAGTAACATGTAACTAAAATCTTGGTGTTTAAGCCAAGTGTGGTGGCCTGTAATCCCAGTACTTGGGAGGATGAACCAGGAGGATCACTGTGAGTTCGAGACCAGCCTGGGCTACGTAGTGAGTTCCAGGTCAGTCTCAACTACATAGTGAGACCCTGTCTCAAAAAAAAAAAAAAAAAAAAAAATCTTGGTGTTTAATTTTCAAAACAAGTTACAACTAAAGTGCTCAAAGGAAAACCCATGACATTATAGCTTATTGGTCTTGAATCAGTTTCTCCTCCACCCAACATATCACCAGTCAGACTAAGATTCACATTCCAAAATGAGAAGACCCCAAAAGTAAAAGCTAAAGCTACAGCAACCTCATCACTACTGGCTATACAACAAGGGAAGGGCACACAGAAATCCACGAGATTTTTCATTTACAAACATTCCTTTTCTTCAGATTACTCAAGGTAGTCCTTAGATAATACTTAAGCAGAATCTGGAAAAATCCTGCCACGCTGGTGTGGTCCACCTTAAGTGGCACCCAGAGCCTGAATGCCCTGTAGCAACCAGAGTGGGACATGGCTGTAGAGGAGCACCTTGCCTATATCCTAACAGGCCTCTAAGGCAGATGAGACCTAAGTCTTACACTTTACAAGACAGATCCAAGTTAGTTAGCATCCAGCACCAATTTCCTACTCCAGCATTTCACTGTTGGTGAACCTGCCTTCTGAAGATGCTCTGGGAGGGGCCTCTCCTAATTGTGCTTCACGCTTATGCAGAGCACACAGGAAGACAGGACCAGGGCAATCACAATCTCTTCCTCCAACTTTCTAGCTTCAGTTTATGACTCAGCTAACATTACTGAAATGCTTTTTATATCAACACATACTAATACCACGTGCCAGGAACTATTCCGAGTGTTTGACAAGTAGAGCCACTGCTATTAACACCATTTTAGAGACAAGGACACTGGTATAAAGAGGCATGAAGAGGTCACAGAACTACTAAAAGGCAGAATGAGGACCTATCTAAGTAGCTGGATGAGCTGGGACTTCTAACCTCTAGACCACATGGCTCAATGGCAGTGCATGCACCAAGCGTATAGGTGACCAAACACATACACACAAGCACACCACCACCCTGACAGTGCCTGCACTCTAAGCAGGTGACTGCCCCACAGCCTGTGTGAGTCTTTCAAATGGGTGTATGATTGACAGCATCTGCAGACCACTGGTCTGGGGATGAGATTTCCAATGACCATGGGGATGCCCCTTGGCTCTTGGCAGGCTATTTGCACTAAATGAAGTTAAACATTAGTTCTCAGTCATAAAGGGGCACATGCGATCAGTCCTACTGCACTAGACAGTAGAAAAGACACTTCCATGCCAGAGAAAAATTGTAAAAAATTGGTTTAGAATGTTAACAGTGTGTCCAAAAACCTAAGTCTCTGTGACTACCCTGTTTTCCAAGGACCCAATGCTGCTGAGTTCCAACATGACTACCACCCCAGCCTGGGGACAAAAAAGCAAAGTCAGATGATACGTGTAACACTTTTTAGCTGATGCACACCAGACTTCCTGCACTACTGCTGTTAGGGGAGCCTCAGCATTCCAGGTGAGGTGTGAGAAGCGCACCACCACTGACTTGAGGGGCCAGGCTCCCAGACTGCACCAGAGCTGTGGTGACCTATCTAAAACCCCAACAGACTCATCAGGAAGTGAACCTAAGAGCTCCAAAAGCAAGAGAGCATTAAGGCTGCTAACAAACTATTTGTACAGATTGATAATTCAAGACAACCCAATCCTCGGCCATGATGAAGACCTGTCTCAGTCTCAGCTAAAACGGGGAACTATTTGCTAAGCTATGTTAAGCACTTGTCTTGTGGGGCAGGAGTCTATTTCTTGGGGTTGTTGTGTCCCAAAGCAACATGAGTCCACTGCCCACAACTGTCTGGTATGGCCAAAGATTTCCTCATGCTCACAAGTTCTCCAAAATTTGCAAGCCTTCTAAAGACATAGCACACCCTCAGGGCCTTCACAGGACTTATTGGCTTAGCAGGTGACTGCAAGTCAAACACTTCACAGATATGTGCATCTAAGATTCTCCTCTTGCTAGTCTATTTCCCCAGCAGGGACCACTGGTTTGTGAAACAACACAAAACTTAGGCTTTGGGGCTTCCCAAGCCACTGTTCAGGGTTCTTTTCACCCACAGAGGGAGGTAGCTCCCCTTTGTGTCCTTGAGCCACATACATTGTCATCATCTTCTATGGCCTCCCCAGTGAAGTAGAGCACAGCCCTCGGCACTATTCGCTCACGGAAAAAGTGTCCAATTTCAAAATCTGAGGCTAAAGTGAATTCAGAATCTTCATCCTGAGGGAAAAATCAAAATATTAACTCATTTCAGTGGGATAAACTCAATTTTCTTGACCCCTTTAACGAAGTCTAACTCCTCACTTCTGGTTTACTGGACTTTAAACAAAAAACCCTACACTGCTGGGTGACAGTCACCACACACTTAGCCACCTAAGAGAACCTTAAGCAGCTTCAGAGGAACTCAAAAGCAAAATGGCAAAGCAGGTAGGCAGTGGAGGCCTGTATATAGCTTCTCCATCTGCCTGGTCCTGATGTCAATCTACAGAACTCCCCACTCAACAGTGTAATGATTTCATATGAACCCCAGGATCCCACGAAACAGGGATTAAAAAAAGAGTAGGCACCCATTCAAGAAATAGAGACTTTAACAGGACAACATGACAACACCAATCTTACCAGTGATTCGCCATCCCCAGAGGCTAGAAAAAAGAAAAGACAAAACATAGCTACATTACACTGACAACCAAAAAAATTAAAGCCCACAAAGAAGAAGCTTAGGTAGCACAAAATGGACAGGTCACAGCCCGAGGGCTTGGCCAGATGTCACCTAAGCCCTGTAACTCCTCACAGATGCCTTTGTAAGCTCCTCCACCACATACTGAAATCAATGTCTTGTCCATGCATGAGTTACTATTCATCGTGTGGTTTTTGTTTTTATTTTGTTTTTGAGATGGGGTCTTGCTGTGCTACCCAAGCTAGCCATAAATTCATGATCCTCCCATTTGTTTCCCAAACTGGTGAGATTATAGACATACCTCACTATGCCTGGCTTAGTCATGTATTGTAGGCCCCCGAAGCCTCATATATTTTGAAGGTGACTGGATTATTGGGGGTAATGCTACAACTGGCTTGGTGTTAGGAGGTAGGGCCTGATCAGAAGAGGCAGGTCACTAAAAGCATGACCTGCACGAGCATTAACTCCCTCTCAGACTCCTTTCTTTACCCTCTGCTTCTCTGCCACTGTGAAGTATGCAGCTTTCCTCTGCCAGACCCTTCTACCGTGCCTTTCTGCCTTGGAGCCAGCCAACTATGGCCTAAAAATGTGACTCAAGATAAACCTCTCCTCCTTTAACATGCAGATATTGGGAATTTTGTCCCAGCAATGAGGAAAGTTGTAAGACACCATGCTTTTTATAGACCCTAGGGAAAGTTATGGAAAACCAAGGTTCAGAAATCTATGAGAGCTGAAGGGCAAACAGGAAGAAAGTCCTCTCAGTGTCCCAGGCTGCCATTGGGGTGCATTAATACTACACGGGGAGATACATCTGCACCTGTGGAGCTATTGTAGTACAAGTACTGACACATGAGTAGGAAATCTCAAGCTTGTGTGCTCCAAGTACTGCTGAGATGTTTGCTGATGCCTCTACAGAAGAGCACAGCTCCTCCCCAAAGACGATGCTCAGATGCAGTCAACACACAGAAGACCATGCAGACTTTGGTGCTGACACTGAACCAGGCAGGACAGGAACAGAAAGGACTTCTAACCACACCCACCAAGCTGAGCTGACAGTCACATGATATACAAGACCCTTGGTCAAAGAGTTGTGTTACAAGGCCTCAGTTTCAAATTCTTGACCTCAGTGTGGAGACGCAGTGGTTCAGTGTGGATACCATCCACAAGGTGCAGATTACCATGTGGGCAAGGAAGAGGGTCAGAACCTGGGCTGCCTTCTAGACTGGTTGTTGACTTAAGGACAGACAGGCAACAGGGATAGCTACCTAATGTTTCCTTCATTTCAAACAGGTCATCCATTTTGTCTTGTCTGCCCATTGCCTCCTGCCCCACCATTTTCCCTTCTAATCCACAGCACTCATCACTCAGTCCTGTATTTTGTATTAACCTGCTTATTTTAAAATTAGTGGTTGGGGATTTAGCTCAGTGGTTCTGCTGCCTGCCTCTCAAGCACAAGGTCCCGAGTTCGATCCTCAGTGACAAAAAATTATTTAATTAAATAAAATAGCTTTACTGAGGTACAATTTACATACTATAAATCCACTTTGAATGTACAGTTTAATAACTTGGTAAATTCATTTTAGATTTGGGCAATCATCATCATAAAACAATTTTAGAACATCAAAAATTACTTCCAAAATTCTGAGTTTGCTTATCAATTCCATTCTTAGTCTAAAAGTTATTTTAAAACCAGTTTTAAGGAAACTCACGAACTGGGTGTGGTGGTACAAACCTGTAAGTAATCCCAGCACCCTAGAAGGCTGAGGCAGGAGGTCCAAAAATTTGAGGCCAGCCTGAGCAATTTAGTGAGAGCTTGTTTTCCCCTTCTCCCTCAAAAAAGGGCTACAGATATATTTCAGTGTGAACGCCTTCAAAAAAAATAAAAGCAAAAACAACTTGGAGGTACTAGGTCCAGACTAAAAGGCCCTCTAATTCAGGGGTACTTAGACAACCTCCAATATTGGGCGTGAAACTTATGACTGCTCTTACACATCAGACCTTTTAGGTCAAAGTCAAATTGTAGAAAAGAAAATAGTCTCCACGATAATAAATACTGTCATGGCCCATGCAGGGCAGCTTCACGGATGAGGACACGGAGTTCAAAGACAAAGCAAAACTCACGCGTTCTAGTCCCAGGAACAGAGGTGCTAGGAACAGCTGGTAGTGGAAGTGTTTATGTCTCTTTGTATCCATGATTTAACATTCCCAAGTGGTCCGGTTGCACATCCTCTTGTGATTAGAAAACTATCCTGTGACTTAAATTGACTACAAGTGAACTGGGCATAGTGGTACCACTGGTAATCCCAGGAGTTAGGTGGCTGAGGCAGGAGGATTGCTCCAAGTTTGAAGCCAGCCTGAGCTACACAGTGAGTTCAAGGACAGTCTGGACCACATAGCAAGACCTTGCCTCAAAAAAAATTTCCCCAAATCCCTGTGCTCTATGGAATAATGTGTACAAAAAACGTAAGAAAACTGCTAAGAAAAGGGGGTCTGACGGGTGATTCAGATGCTGTGCAACAGTGACCACTCATAGCTAGGAAGACAGAAGTGACCAACAGCTGGGTCACCTGCAGAACACAACACAAGTGTAAGGGGTGGGGTTGGGGTCAGCTGAGGAAGCAGCACAGACCAAGTGCTCCCTTCAGTTTGTTTGTCTATTTATGGTGCGTGGGACTGAACGCAGGACCCTGTGCTTGCAAGGCAGGTGGCAGCACCACTGAGATAAATCCCGGGTCCCTCTCAGTTTTTAAAAGTGAAGTTGCATATGTTTTCCTGGGCAGCAGGTAGATGGAGGGAGGTAAGGACTCCTTCTTCCCTTTCACGACAAAGATAATCTGATTCTTCTTGTCCCAACTCCCAGCCTATGGACTCGCGATGCACTAACACAGTATCCTGGATTGAGCCCTCATTTCCCATCTGAAAAGCACCGGATAGGGTTGAACTCTCTGGGAAATAGCTAGGAAAGCAACAAAACTTTTTCACACTAGTGCATTAATAAATGGCCCAACAGACTTACCTTTTAGTGGACTGAAGAAGTTGAAAAATGACTCATTGGGCACTTGTTTAGTAATTGTTCTAACAGTGCCCCGACCCTTATGCTTCTGTTTTTTCTTGATGGTTTTGACTGTAACATTTTTTCCTTTCTTCCAGTCAATGGTACACCTATGGAGACAAGAAAGCACTCATGGAAACATACTAGAGAAAAATCAATTACAATGCATATAGGCAGCAGCCTACAGCACTATGCTTAACCAGGAATATATAAGAAAACCAATTTGCAAACCAAATATTACAAATCCTCTGAATCATTGAAGGATGTCTAGTGGGAAAGGGCTAGGGCCTCCCTCATTCTATGTGCCTTGGCTGCCTCAGGGCAGACTTCTGAAATAACTGGCATTATTTTTCCAGAAGTTCCACGAGGACTCTAAAGTATATTTTCTGTGACAAGGTCTCATCAAATCTGCACAGTGCACAAGAGCTTGTCATCTGCTGCCCTTGAGAAGAGAGCACACATGTAGTTACTCACTCGTACCTGAATTCTCAAGTCAACTAAGTGAGCAGTACAACAGGGGCCACACAAATACTGATGACCAACATAGAACACACCATCCAGGATGCCTGCCTTTGATTCTGTCACATTGGACACAGGGGACTCCTGGCAGCAGATGAACAATGTCTGCTCAAGAACACACTTGAAAAAGCCAGGCCTTTTCTCACATGATGGCTGGCCCTAGCCATTCAAACAAATCTAGCAAGATTTTAATAAAGCCCCAGAATACTTGTATGCAAAGATCTGTAAGAGTAGTTGGTTCTAATGGATAGATGTTTTGTTCTGCAGTGCTGGGGATTGAACCTAGGGCCTAGCAAATGCTATATTCCTGAATTACAACCCTATCCTGAATGAGTGTTTTAATTCAAGGATAACAAAATTTCCCAAAATCAAACCCACCAATGGGAATTAATTCTAAGCTAAGTTTTCTCCTTGATGGTCTATGAAGACTGAAATGAACATGAATCAAACAGCATCTATACTGCCAATTTCCAAAGTAATCACCTTATTACTGGGTGTGGTGGTACAAACCCACACTAACTCATTCAACAAACACATTATTTGCATTTGAGAATTTTATTTTACGATGTCTAGAGCACCTAATATCTACTCAAGATTAAAAAGAGTATCAGCCCAAATGTTCACAACTGAACAAGCATCATCTCTCAGCTTTGGTCACCGTATCTGCATTTTGTACATCCAATCTGAAAGCCTACTGCATTTAAATCTTTGCTGGGCTTTAAGGAAGGTTCAAGACCTTTTATATTCTTATTTCCTATCTTTTTTAAAATTCTAAAATCATCTTCTGCTTTTGTTGCAGAAATAGAAGCCAGAAAGATATTTTCTTACCCATCACAGTCCACAATTTCAGGACCTTCAAAGGAAAAGGGGTCGGCCTTGTCTGGCTCTGACTTCATCTTGTATGTTTTTGTCAGGACTGGATTGGTAAAGTAGTCATTGGGTTCAAAGTGGAACTCTAACACAAAAGACTGAAAGCAGAAAATGAGAATAGGGGCCACTTAAAATCTACAAACAACCAGCGTCAAATGTCATAGGTCACACGGGCCTTCCTAGAAATCTGCCCATTCAGCCCATTCCCTTTCCCTCTTCATCTCAGTCCTCCCCGTTGGCAAGGTCAGGGTTGCATTCTGTGCCATAAAGTGAAGGTAGTGATTCCACATACGAGGTGAGTGGAAGGAAAGGACAAAGCTCCCCAAGGATGAAGTGGATCCTTTACTATGAAGTACTCTGCAGATCTGAGCAAGACATGGATACTATGGGAAAGAGGACAAAGGGTACGTACAGAAAAAAGCAGCAAAAGAGACCAAATGGCTAGCAAAAGAAAACACATAAGTTACATAAATAAAAACTGAAAGACATGGCCTACTTTAGGGGCAAAATGCATAAAAATACTATGTACGACTGGCTAGTATTGTGGGGTATTGAAAATACTCTTATACTATAAACAGATTTACAAAAGACATTGTGGCAATATACAAAATTAATAAAACAGGAAAGTATATTCACTGGCAAAATAATTCAACTGAAGAACTTATCCTAAATTTGAGGAAACTGGATGTATGCATGGCTATGTGCAAAGATTCTCACCTCAGTTTATAAAGAGAAAAGGGAAGTCAATCTCCAGTTATCTATGGGGAGTTCACAAGACTACACACTGAATTCCGATCCTGCCTATGTCTGTAGGTGCTGTGTAATTCTAAGGAGTGTTGCACCATCTCTGTGCTCTGGGATCCTCATATTAACACTGAAGGTAACATTCTGCCTCTCTATCAACTGGCTTCAGGGTCAATCTACCAGAGTACGCAGAACAGACCCCAATCCAGGCAAGGATAGCCACAGCACTGTAATAAAACTATGGGGGGGGGATTTAAAAGACTTGAAGTAAATCTATACAAGTGTACACACTTTAAAACCATGTCCCCAAAAGAGGAAGTGAAAAAAGAACTCTTGAGGTAAGGGTGGAAAGAAGAGAGCCAGCAGCTTAGGACAGCGGCAGCAAACCTATAGCGTGTGTGCTGCAGGGAGCTGTCTATCATCACTGAAAGCTCTAAAAGGTTCGCCATCACTGGGGCCTGGCCAGCTGCTCCTGTGACTCTCCCTGGAGCAGAAGGTGGGATCTTACAAAGTTTAACTAATAAATCCTTCCCAATCCTCCACTGAATACAACAAACCTACAGAGGATGGAGAATAAGTGGGGTGGGAATGGGAGACTGGGAAGCTGCCTGTAGAGAAGTTTAAGGCGGGGCTGTGTGGACAGCCAGCCAGAGTGAGGTCGGATCACAAATGCATTATGTCTGATCTTTCCCCATTCCTTATAATTTTAAAGAGGCAGAATTATTTATTTTCTCCTATTTCCTTCCATTACATTTCTCTAAACCACGTCTTCATATCCCCCCACAACCCCCAAGTCCCCCCCATCGCCCGCCTCTGTTCGGCCCAGTCACTAAAATGCAGCTGGGGAAAACTGAAGGACTTGCTTAACCATCTAACCAAGAAGTGACCCAAGGGTAAGGCTGCCTCGTTAACACCCCACACAGACCAGTGTACTGTCAATATGCTAAATATGCCCAATCTCAATGATAATTGAAGAATAGAAACTTAAAAATGGGCGTGGTGGCGCATGCCTATAATCCCAGTACTCGGGAGGCTGAGGTCAGGAGGATCGCTGTGAGTTCAAGACCAGCCTGGGCTACACAGTGAGTTCCAGGTCAGTCTCAACTACATAGTGAGACCCTGTCTCAAAAAACCAAAAAAAAAAAAACCAACAAGAATAGAAACTTAGCCTAATTTTTTCCAGCAGAGTAGTTGTGGTTGTTATTTTTGTCAGTTCTTATGCTGAGAAGGCAAGGATGTAGGTCCCTGACTGCATATCACCCAGGTGGTTACAGCTGACTGACATGTGAGTCTGGGTGAAGGGCATATGATGGAAATTCTCTGTATAGTCACTTCAACTTTGCTCTAGGTTTCAGAATTATTTCAAACTACAAAATGAAAAAAAGACTTGCTAAAAAGGAAGGATAAAAAAATAGCACTAGCTGAAATGTAAATGGAACTATTACAGGGTCTCCTAACCATTCACCATCTCTGATCCAGTCACAAAAATTATTTAAACTAGTAAAATATTAGCAATCTTAGTACAGACTGGATGCAAGTGTGCTGATCATAATGTAATGACCAGAATGGGGAGGTGGTGCAATACTTGGGGAATGTTAAGGAAACCACTTAGAGCTGATGGCCACAGTCACAAGTGCTTCTTCCCCAGCCAAGCGTGTGTGACGTAACCCCACACACATGCTGGGAATATAGGAAGGTGGCCTTTGGAGCGAAGACTGAGGATGCTTTTGTTTTTATTACTTTTTTAGATGTAATAACTCAAAAAGAAAAAGGTCATGGGGAAATTCATTAAGCCGTGGGAAGTTATTTTTAGAAGATGGCAATTTGTGTAGTATTGCCTGCGTTGTCTATATAATTCTGTAATAAGCAAATGTGGGTTTTATAATGGAGAAAGTAGAAGGAAACAGACACAAGTGACAGGCTACAGACTACCATGTGTTAGGCTGCAATGAGATAGAAGAAGACACAGTGGGTGGAGAAAGGAAGAAAACAGACCTAGGAAACCATCAAATGGGTGTTCAGTAAGAAAAAGGAAGGAGATATAAGAAAAGGAAAAAAACGGAAATAAGTCTTTATAAATAGGGAAGGTGGAAGGGTTGAAGGGAGTGCAGGGGAATGGGGAAAAAAATAAGAACCAAGATATTACCATGTAAAGTACAAATTCCCAATGATGAATGTCATATTGTATACTTAAAACATACCAGTAAACTTAATGAATAAAAAAGTAGACAGATAGTTGGATAGATAGATAGATAAAAAGAAAGAAAAAGGGAGGAGAAAAGGAGTGACTTCAAGGGAGGAAAAAAATTGTCAGCTGAGTTTGGATAAGTTACTGCGGTGGCCATATGGGCAGAAGGGCTGCCCTTGCCCATGAGGTTTTGCTCTGAGCTCTGCACAATGAGATGCACAGTGAGGCAGACATGTCCAGGTCCCTAACTCCCAAGATCCCTAAGCTACAGCCACTTATACAGCATATGTCTCCAAGACCTGAAACTGAAAACTCTCCGTCAGTTACGTGTCACTAGAGTTGCTATAGCCCTGGGATGGTACCTATCAGTCATAGGCAGGCTGTTAGGTTATGAACAATGCTCTCTGGGAAGTCCAGGTAGGCTGAGACCTGTCACCAAGATTGACAGAAGGGGCTAGATGAGGTCAAGCTCATCCACCACCCCAATAACTGTACTTGTGTAATGATCATTATGGAGCAATGTTAAATGACAAATCAAAGAATGGACAAACATTTTTCAGTTACATCCGCAATTACTTTTTAGTCTAAACGCTAGTAGTTTTCTTTCCTCAGTATTTCTGCATAAGTAAGTGCTGCTCATATTTGCATGTACCTCCTTTTAAAAAAAAATTTGAGATGGGAGCCTCACTGAGCTGCCCAGGCCTGCCTGAAACTCTTGGGCTTAAGTGATCCTCCTGCATCAACTTCCCCAGTAGCTGGGATTACAGGCTCATGCCACTATACCTGGCTACTTCCCATCCTCTTCAACTATGTCAATCTCTATCAGTTACACCTAAATTGCCGAGGTACTTAAGAAAAGTATATTATTTCCAAGTGATGAGGAAACACAACTAAGGGCCCAGGATGAGACCCAATGGGCACTATAGGACAGCCCAAAAGTTCAAACCTGTTGACACTTGCCCTGGACCTCACCCTGCTCCATGGCCTTAGGGCAGGAAATGGTCTGTTGTTACTTGTCCAACTGTCTAGCTCCGACTCCTAACCACAGTACTGAACCAGGCACAGAGAGACAGTGAGAGGAAGCCTGACTCCCAGCGACCAGTCTCACTCAGAACTTTCCAGCAGTAACAGGGTTTGGATTTCTTGCTCGGGTTCCAAGTCCCTTAGCTAACCAGGAGCTGAGCTGGTACTCACCATAGGCTGTCCAGGGTCTGAAAATTTCACTTTAATATCTTGCAGATGTTTCAAGATTGGCTCATCATATTCCTAATTTAAAAAAAAAAAAATTCCAATGGGTTTTTGTTTTTTTTTTGAGATGGTGTCTCATAATGTAGTTCAGACTGGCTTTGAACTCAATTTGTAGCCTAGGTGGCCTCAAACCTACAGTGATCTTCCTCTCTCAGCCTCCCCAGTGCTGGGATTACAGGCATGTGCCACGTGGCCTCCAACGGGTTTTAAGAAAACAATCCACATCTCAAGTTAGGTATATGCTCCTAGATGTTGGAAAATTGGACCTACTAAAATTCTGCTCTCATCAAGTAAAAACTTCCTGGAAGCAGCTCAAATCTATTCACTGACCATGTGTCTTTGTATGGTAACATTTATGTACCAAGAAGCATGCACTATTTCTTTTGGCTTTTTTTTTTTTTTAAAGACAGGGTCTCACGATGTAGTTCAGGCTGGCCTCAAACTTGTGGCAATCTCCCTGCCTCGGGTGTGTGCTACCATGCCTGATCACCATTTCTCTTTGGCCTAGGACAATGATGACCATCAATGACAACAACAGGGTAGCACCTTTGATACCTGCCCACCTCCAATAAGGGCAACCTCACTGCTCTCCTGCAATCATGGCATAGAGAACAGAAGTATCCACGACTGCTGGCACTCAGCATCCCAGGGCACATAAAGCAAAAGCCCAGAAATCAGATGCTGCTGGCCTTTGGGGTCAATTTTGCTACCTGTGGCAATAAATATCTCAAATCCCTAGCACACAGTCATTTCCTCAAACATGCTTACAAAGCACATCTAAAGTCTCACCTGCAAGAGTTTATGACTCCTATATGTGCTTTTATAAGTGACCAATATTTAATCTCAAGATTTTACCAAAGCCTATCATTTTGAGATTCCACAAGAGAAAAAGCAGAAAATGAACTCTAACACTTTTGTGACTGCATACTAGTGACAGGTGCTTCATTTTTAACATGGAATCACTTCTTTACTCCTGAAGTCTGGCACTGACGCCAAGATTTTTTTATTTTTGTTTTTTTAAGACAGGGTCTCACTATGTAGTTGAGACTGACCTGGAACTATGTAGTCCAGGCTGTTTTCGAACTCACAGTGATCCTCCTGCCTCGGCCTCCCAAGTGCTGGGATTACAGGTGTGAGCTACCATGCCCACCAAGGCCAAGATTTTGTAAGGTTCCATTAAGTCCTTTTTTTTTTAGTGAGACAGAGTCTCACTATGTAATTGAGACTGACCTGGAACTCCCTATGTAGCCCAGGCTGGTCTTGAACTCACAGCGATCCTCCTGCCTCAGCCCACCAACTGCTGGGATTACAAGCATGCAACACCACGCCCGGCTTCCATTAAGTCTTAGTAGAGCCTAATAATTGCAGACTTTCATATTTTAAGTTCTTTTGACATTAGAGAAAGAAACAAAACCAGCAACAGCAAAAAGACACCTAGCAAACTCTAGACAAAAAAGGAAACCTCCCTCCCAAAAACCAAGAACAGAAATCCAAGATAGTTTTGAAAGGAAGCCATACAATCAAGAGCAGTCACATCCTCAATGTCAAGACAAGGTGGCACCAGGCTGTGCCATGCACATTGCCTACCTGCTAGAAATGCCCAGCTCTCAACTGCCAACATGTTTTTTGTTGTTTTACAGTACTGGGGAACACAGACTTTGCACTAGGCTACATCCTCACCCCTTTTTTGAGACAATGTCTCCATAAGTCATTCAGGCTGGGTTCCAACTTGCAATCCTCTGTCCCAGCCTCCCAGAATGCTGAGCCTATTGTGTGTACCACCAAACCCAGCTCTAACATGAGTGTTTTCACTGGGATGTTTTCCAGTATACATTTTGAGGGTATTTAAACCTCGCCTACTCAAAGTAGCAGTATCCTGTATTGTCCTCAAACTTATGAAGCTACTATTCTGCTCTGAGTTTCCCCAACCAGTTGGGTACCTTGAAGGCTGAGAACCTTACACAGTCCAAGGCATAACTGGATGCTCACACAGCAGAAACCAGATGCATCTCAAACACAAACCATAAAGCTGCTATCTTGAATTTTCACAATTCTACTTCTAGGAATCAATCATTAGCACAGAACTGAGGCACCACAAGTCAATCTCATCTTTGGGATTTCACATTTGACCAAAGTGGAAACTACTGGCTATCACCTGCTATCAGGTTACAAACAGTTCAGGTGACATTTGAGCTCTCATATTAATGAAAATTCTATAAATCTCAACGAAAACAACTGATGGCTTAAATGAAGCACTGACGCTAAGACGGAAGTATGGAGAAAATGAAACGATACTCCCATTACAATATGATGGTCTATTATACTGCTCTCAAAAGCCAAAGCAACAATATGCATAAGAAGCTGCTTCACACCTAAGCTGCAGGACAGTTGGTTGGGCAGCCATATGTGCAGAACAGGGCCACCAGAAGCCAGCCATCTGACTCAGTCATCTACCTTGCATTGCAAATCTCACCTCACTATAAGCTCACTTCACCCAAAGCATGTCCCTACCCAGCAGTATGGGCTGTGAGAAAAAACGCAGGGCATGTGAGAAAGTGAATCCCCAGGGCCACCCAGATCCACAACCTGTATTTCCACAAGCATCCCACTCCATAAAGTCTCAGAAGAACTAATCCAGGAGGTTCTGCTCCTCTGCCATGGGGCACATCAGGATCACCTGAAGAGCTTCTAAAAACACATCAAAGCGGGCCAGGGATCTAGCCCAGTGGTGCTGCCACCTGCCTCACAAGCAAAAGGTCCTGAGTTCAACCCCCAGTACAAAAACAAAATCCAACAACAACAAAAAAAACACATCTAAGGGCTGGGATGCAGTTCAGTGGTAGAGTGTTTGCTGTCATTCTCAAGGCCTTGGATTTTACCTGCAGCAGCACAAAATAACCAAACAGCAACAACAACAACAAAACCCAAAAAAACCCACCTTGACTGTCTCACTGACTCAGTGGCAGTGGAGGAAGCGCAGATGGGTAGTTTAAAAAGGTGTCTAAATAACTTTTATAGTCAAGGTGAGAATAGAGAATACAGCTCTATTAGATATCAATTTTGGCAACAAATAACTGGCACATAGCATTCTTTTAAAAGTATAGCTCAGGGTCGAGGATTTAGCTCAGTGGTTCTGCCGCCTGCTTCGAAAGTGTAACGTCCCGAGTTCCATCCCCGGTACCAGAAAAAAAAGGATAGCTCAGTCTTCTCTGATTTCATTTTTTCACACACACACACACACACACACACCCTAAAAACCAAGGCTGCTCTACTTTAGGTTCCTCCCTGGATTGGAAAAGAGAAATGTCCTACTCTTTCTATCCCTGAGATTCCAGCTTAGGATGGAGGATAAGCAAGGCAGGAAGCACAGATAGCAATGTGGTAAATTTCTGAACCATTAAAAATTTATTTATTAAATCTTGTGCTAATCACAAACAGCTGTTTGCAAGGGATAGCAGTTGTGCTCTGTGGCAGAAGCACTATGCCAACAAATGCACAGAACAGGAGCTGTCAAGGCAAGCCTGAAAGCAGACATGGCCATCTCTGTAATGGCAGCAATAAAAACCCAGCTAGCAAGTTAGTGAATGAGACTTGACTTCTGCGGGAGCTGCTTCTGTATTCTAGAAACATCTACTGTAGCTCTTTTCAGGAAAAGTCAAACAGTCCCTTTTAACTGGCTAATTGCTTTATTATAGAAAAGTAGACAAGACAGTTCGGTGATTTCCTTAAAAAAACAAAAAAATCTTTCAAGGGAAGTGATCAGAAAATATTAGCAACTTGTTACACTGACATGCAAAAAACAAGGCTGTACAAAAGTCCATTTCAAAACCACTGAGTTGTGGCTGGGGATTTAGTTCAGTGGTTTTGCCACCTGCCTCACAAGTTCAAGGTCCCGAGTTTGATCCCCGGCACAAAAAACAAAACAAAAAACACTGAGTCATGAACATGTGCATGCACACACACAGTGCTCCTGTTCATCTGAAGGGACTCATCCTAATGGTCTCCTATCTTCAGGATCCTTGATGCTCACACCACAGGAGGACATAAAGACGAACCTGCGAAGACTGCTAAGGGTGAAGTAGGAGGCTTTTACAGGGGATAAAGGGAATTAACTCTCAGGCTTTGGCTTAAGCCAACAATGTTCTAAGACCTGCAAAAAGTTGGAAGCCCTTTCAGCCAAGCTCCCATCCCTGGGTACCAGGAAAATTGCTCAAGTGCCTGCACATCAAAAAGCAGCTTCCCAGCTAGTACAAAAGGCCTCTCGGAAACCAGGTAAGCAGGGTGAAAGAAACTACAAGATTGCCAGAAAATCTCCCTGGGCAGCAGTCCACTCACCTGCACTAGCTCACTGAGCATATCCACATTTCTAAAAATAGTGAACCAGAACTCTGGGATTCCTTTGGGATTTAGCTCTTCAGCTGCTGCTTCTTCTTTCTCTGCTATGACTACTTTATTTTTCATGTCTCCCTACAAAATAAACATGCAAAATAAAAGTTATCATAAGAAACAAATTTTACAAATTGCTCAAAAGCTTAATGGAAAATCTAATTTCAGAGTCCTTCATGAAGACATTTCTCCTTTAGAAATGGGTTGGCACCGGGGCTGGGGATTTAGCTCAGTGGTTCTGCCGCCTGCCTCACAAGCACAAGGACCAGAGTTTAATCCCAGTACCAAAAAAAAAAAAAAAAAAAAAAAAAAGAAATGGGTTGGCACCACCAAGCAAGAGGAAGAAGCATTCAAAGGAGTATAGTTCATGATAAAATTTCACATCAAATAGAAAAAGCTTAAATGGCAAAATGTCACCAGACTTGGAGAAAGCTGTCCAGTGCTGAATGGTGAGCTACTAGTCACTAGATGAGAACGAGGACTCCGTATCAGCATGGAGATGTGACCACATCCATTACTGTTCAAATGGAAAAACTCAGTTTAAGAACAAATGCACTTGACCTCTGTGCACAAAGCTCTGGGTTTGATCCCCAGCACCATGAAATAAATAACAGTAAAAAAAAAAAGCCAGTGTGGTGATATAGCACACTGTAATTCCAACACTCAGGAGGCTGAGGCAGGAGGGGTTGCTGTGAGTTAGAGGTCAGACTGGGCTACATAGTGAGTTCAAAGCCAGACTACAGAGCAAGACCCAGTTTCAAAAATACCAAAATTGATGAAATGGTCATGCAGGGTTTTTTTCAACTAGCAAAAGCAAACTTTTCTTGAGTTTTAAGGAGTGAACACATAGCTAAACTCATGCACAGCCATGGTTTAACTAGGCTAGGTTCTACCTATTTTTAAAAGATTGAAACCATTGCCAGGGATTTAGCTTAGTGGTTCTGGTGCCTGCCCTGCAAGTTCAAGGTTCTGAGTTCGATCCCCGGTATAAAAACAAAAAAAGATTGAAACTGCACACAGCTACCAAAATTACCATTTAGAAACAAACAAACAAACAAACAAACAAAACCAAAGAACTGAATGCTAATGCTTGAGGATAAAAACTACTATAAAATAAGCATGACACTCACAAGGGTATAAGCTCAGTGGTTATAACACCTGCCCTAGCATTTGAGACCTCAGCTCAATTCTTAGCACCAAAATAATTTTTTTTCTATAGTCCTGGAATAGGGCTATCACCGGAAAAAGGTTAATGAGTACAAGTGGTAGGATAGTGGACGTCATGACATCAGCCCTTACTTACCAGTGTAGAAACACATCACTGGTTAAAAGTTTCATAAGGCATTGTACCATCATTGAGCAGAGCAGAATGGTACAAGGTCTCCAGATCCCACTCTTCTAGTGCCTGAGGCCATAGGTATGCAGTTTCCCTGCTGACCTCCACCTTCTCTGGACTAAGACTATTGCTGGCACTGTAATTTATCCTCTGATTCTGTATTTCAACACAGTACTGCACAAGGACAGCTGAGAAAGGGCTGTGTCTCATCACAGAACTGGCAGCACCTTATTAGATGCCAGACAGTGTCACAGATCTGTGTACCATGACCCAATGGAAAGAGAGCACTACTACTGGGAACACTTTTTGGGAAAGTTTTATCCATGATTAAATACCATCAAAAATGTTCTCTGTTTCTAACAAGTTATATATATTTTTCTTTCCAGTTCTGGGAGTTGAACCTATCACCATCACACTGAGCTACATTCCCAGCCCTTTATAAATTTTGAGAGAGGATCTTGTACAAGGCTTGAACTTGCCTTTCAGCGTTGGGATCACAGGCATGTGCCACTACCACACCTGGCTTATACTCCTGACTTGTGTAGTAACTGTGATGGCAATTACTTTGTTTTCATTCACTGAGGTTTACATTTGTTTTATTATAATTTTTGTTTATATATTATGGATCTCAATTTTTTAAAGTTATTAAGTAATTTTTAAAAACCTTACAGCCAGCTTCTCCTCCTCTTCATTTTCACTGTGCCATTCTGATTCTGCATCTGTTGGCTCCACATCACCAGTGATGAATTCTCTTCTCTGTATAAACACAGGAACCATTAGAATTTTAGGTTATTTAGAAACTCTAGATAGGTTTGCAAATAATGTCTCTGAAAAGATACATTCCACGAATCCTGGGTAAATGTGGGTGTCTCCGTAGAGGTGAAATCACAACATGTTAATCAAGACAATCAACAGCCATTCCCACCTTGTCAAACAGAGGTTGGTACAATGCTGCATACTTTCTCTCCAGGTCATGGACTTCTTCATAGAACTTGGCTTCTATGTGTGCACACCTCACCTGAAGCTGCTTCAGTGCATTAATTCTCCTCTTGACTGCTTTGGGTAATCTAGAAGAGGAAACAGAAAACAAAACATTCTTATACCTACAAAATAAAGATCATGCATTTTTGTAATCCCAGCACTCAGGAGGCTGAGGCAGGAGGAGCACTGTGAGTTCAAGACCAGCCTGGGCTACATAGTGAGTTCAGGTCAGTCTCAACTACATAGTGAGACCCTGTCTCAAAAAACCAAAAAAAAAAAAGATCATGCATTTCAACTTTATTAAATTTAGGTTAACATAGAATTAATGCCCTTGCTATGAAGAAGAGCTCCTGAATCACCCCACAAAAAAAGAAAAGGATAAATGCCCTAAAAAAAGAAGAATGGGCCAAAGGGGGAAATTGAAAAGATAATTCATGAAAGAACACAAACTTGCTCCCAAACAGGAGCAAGGTGGAATCTCAATATTCCCAAACATGTAAATTTAAGAACTGTCACTTTCCCTTAGCAAATTGACAATCAGAAACTAACGAATACATAAACCAAAACAAAACATGTAGATTTCAAGAGGCTGAGAGCACCAGAGCCCTCTGAATGACTTTTAAAAGGGGAGATGAGGACCCTGAACACATTCTTCAGGTTCAGTCATTCTAGTCTACTGCTAAGAATTTATCCTAAGGAAATAACTGAGCCATGAAATGTATTTATTTGAAGTTCTTGAAACAGTCATGGGAAATAAAGAGGAGATTCCTAGGCTCCATCACAGACCCAAATAATACACCTGGGGTGGGACGTGGTCCTGCATTTTGGAAACATTCATGACAACTGAGTCTTTAAGTGCAAAGCCAGCAGTACGAGTTAGGCACTCTCCTCATCCCTGTATGGCCAATGCAGAGCCAATTCTGTGCTGACAAAAACAGCCCTGGGCTGGGCAAAGTGGCACATACCTGTAATCCCAGCACTTGAGAGGCTGAGGCAGGAGAACGGCTACAAGCTTGAGACCAGCCTGGGGTACATAGTGAGTTCAAGGCCAGCCTGAACTATACAGCAAGACCTCGCCTCAAAAACAAACACATAAACAAAACAGCTCTGTTTCCTTCAGTATACAGTCCATTAAGGCCACAGCCTCAGCTTCAGGGCCAGGGAGGCTACAGGAGGCCACGCTGCCACTGCAGATATGTGTACACAGACAGCAGCCCAAAGTGTCTAAGCACCAGGGTGGGAGTAGAATGGCAAGGAGGCCAGCATCTGGGAAATTCCAATGCCCAGGGTACAGAACGTGCAGTACCAACAGGGCAGCATTATGCTGTTAACAGTGGAGGCAGAAAATACAAGAACAAAGAACCAAGAACCAAGGACCAAGAACAAAGGACCAGCCAAATTAGCAGTCAGACAACATTTTGATCTCAGGTGGGAGAGTATTTTGAGGGGAATTATTAATGGTGTGTCTTTTATTGTAATAAATGTAAATATTCTGAGCTCAGGCTACTCCTCCCTGCTATGCCCGGCTCCAGCGATCTATGAAGTCCTCTGAACTGCCACAAGATGGCACTGTGCACCACCTAGGAGAACTCTACAACCTGCTCATTCATTATCCCCCACCAGCTAGCCTCTTTGCAGAAGAACAGGGCAGCCTCTCCCATTTTTGGATCCTTATGATGGTTCCCTGAGGGCACCATCTGTGTAATGAAGAATACGTGTGCCAGATGGAGTGGTCTCCACCTGTAATTTCAGCTACTCAGGATGCTGAGGCAGTAGGACTGCAAGTTCTAGTCCAAACTAGGGAGCTTAGTGAGACCAAGTCTCAAAAAAGTGGGAGGGAAGGAAGAGATGTGACTCTAATTAGAATACTTTCTAGAGATCCTGGACTAAAGCCCCAGCATGTGGGCAATAGGGTGGGTGTGGTGGTGCATGCCTGTAATCTCAGCACTCTTTTATTTGGTATGGGGAATCGAACTTGGGACCTTGCGCTTGCGAGGAACGTGGCAGAACTACTGAGCTAAATAAATCCCTGGCCCCACCCCAGCACTCCTGGAGGCTGAGGTAGAAGGATCACAAGTTCAAGCTAAGCTTCAGCAATTCACCAACTTAAGACTCTGTAACAAAATAAAAAGGGCTGGGGATATAGCTCAGTGCACAGGCCCCGGATTCAATTCACAATACTGCAAACAAAAGACAAACTCCCCAAAACAAAACGATACTTATTCCTATTCTGAGTGAAAGTGGTTTATTTTCATTTTACTGCTCACAGTGGCACACATCTTATCAGCAGTATACTTACGTTTCAATGTAGCTGGAAGGAGTGTGAGAGACATTGTCAAGTCGTTCCTGTAAAGCTGCCAGAACTTGTGGATTCTGCATCACCTGATCTGTGAGCTTTTCTATTAGGAGTTAGAAATAAAACCAAAAATATTTACACTATGTCTACCATGGAACAGCCAAGAGTAAAAAATTATTAACATGCATCTACTTAGCTACTAATCTGTAAATAGAGCAAGCAATTTCTTTAAAATGTTTTAAAAACAGGTAAACTTTACTTTTAAAAAATATTTAATAATCTTTATGAATCACACGATTGGGTGGCTACAAAGCTATGCTACAAACGTAGCTAAGCTACATTATGTTACAAAGCTAGAGGTACCTAGACTCTTGGTTCTTGCTTGTAGCTAAGCCCTGACCTCAAGACTGAAGAAGGTACTGATATACTTGCCAAGCTCAGGTGGTCTGATTACCTATCCCCTACCCAAATAAGGCTGTGGTGTCCAGAAGCCAACGACAGGGATGAGCTCAGCTTCTCAAAGTAAAACCACATCTGTCCACTTGTACCCTCACTCACTTCTCAGTTCAGCAAAGGCTCCTCACATCAGCTTGCTGTCTACACTGTACTTTCAAGTTTCTTTTGCTCGTGCTTCTCACTTCTGCCTTTTCCTCTCAACTACTTCCTCTAGGAAGCATTCCCTGACCACTCTGTCCCGACAGCTTCTACACCACTGTACTAGACTTCTATTCAGTTTGTATTTGGGTGTGTCTCTCAAAAAACAACACTGGGAGGACAGAAACTGTCTTTCACTCACGTGAATCAATGGAGTGGGGCAATATTTACCTAGTTCATAGAAAACTTTGAAATGTCTGTCAAACAATTTCCCTTGTGACGACAGAATACAGAAACTCAAACACAGTGCCCTTCCTTTTCAAGAGGCAGTAATATTTGGAAGATCTGATATCATTCGGGTAAGCCAAATACCAAATAAGTACTCAATTTGAATACAACCACTAATATGAGACACTGTGTATGCACATCAATGCACATATGAAACTGTATATCATATACAACTTATTACTACATGCATATACAACAAGCACATCTCTACCTCTGTCCACTGAAAGGGGACTAAAAACAGTGAATTAGCATCTATATTCTAATTTCTAGTTATCAGTCTTTACCAAAAGGAACAAGCTTCTTTGATACTTGGATACTGGGTTTGAGGTAAGAAAAGTCCAAGTGAAACAGAACACCACGTTATGCTACAAAGCTAGAGGTACCTAAAGCCTGATGGAGGTAAGGACTTAAGAGTCCAATTTGTAGGGACGCCAGCAGCACAACAGGACAATCTGCACATGCAATTGAAAACACACTGAATAAAGTAACACACAAGCCCACATGACACTAACAAGGGAGGGTGTGCTCTTTAAAAGTAGGTGATGTGCAATAGAACTGGTGGAATTGGAAAGGCACTCTTTTGCAACCACAAACATTACTGAGTCTGCAAGAATATCACTGAATGTGAAGAAGTGAAGGAGATAGCTACTTCTGCCCAAAAGACTGCTGCAAGGTCAAAGAAGTCTGACAGACACCGTCATAACTAAATTAAACCCCAGAGTCCCTAGTAAAGGGCCAAGCTAATACCATGGGCCTCCTAATGTACCTAATATGCTGCATCATGAAGAGGAAATACCCAGACAAAACCTGACTGTAGACATTCTAGACAAGGCCCACAGTGATGGTAAAAGTGGAGAGATGAAGCTAGAACAAGAGATGTAACTAATCACAATTCATGGTCATTGAATAATTCTTAAGACTTAGGTGTGGGGTGAAAAGAACTGCTAAGAAAACCAGGGAAATACTGTATGGGCATCAGATAGTAGCAATGTATTGAAGTTAAGTTTCTTGGTTGTGGTGATAGCACTGTGGTTCTAAGTATTCATCCCTTTTTGTTTTGTTTTGTTTTTTGTTTTTTGAGACAGGGTCTCACTATGTAGTTGAGACTGACCTGGAACTCACTATGTAGTCCAGGCTGGTCTCGAGCTCCTGGAACTCACTCTGTAGCCCAGGCTGGTCTCGAACTCATGGTGATCCTCCTGCCTCAGCCTCCTGAGTGCTGGGATTACAGGTATGCGCCACCACGCCCAGCCTTCATTCCATCTTTTAGGTCATTTGTATTAATTGTTTCAGGGGGAAAAAAACTATACACACACACACAACTTGCTTTCAGATAGTTGGGGAGATATATATTTCTTAATGAGGAAACACATCTCACCTGTGAATTTATGAATACAATGACGTATCTGGGACTGGTGTTAAAAGAAACAGGGGAAAGGATGAATGTTAAGGGCACAGATGAAGAATACTCATGTTTCGATGCCCAAGCCAAGTGAGGACAGGTACAAGGACGTGCACTAGTCTCTGCACTTTTAGAATGTGAATTTCATACCACGATGGTCAACCTCAACTGTCAACTTTGTTTAGAAGACACTCAAAGACGTGACTAGAGTGTGGGGGTGCTAAGTACATCAACGCATAACTCACTGATAGCTGCATAGCTGGATGGGCCATTATGAGGTGGGACCAAGTGGGAGCAGGAGGTCAATGGGGGTGTACTTTTGAAGGGTGTATGTTTTCTCTGGCTCTTTCCCTGATCTCTGCTTCCGGGCTCTCATGTTTTCCTCTTCCATGCTGTTTCTGTTTTGGAGTCAGTCAATCCTGAACCAAAACCACTAAAACCATTAGCCAAAATAAACCTTTTTTCCTTTAAATTGTGTATATCAGGTAGTTTGTCCCAGTGATGTGAAGGTAACTAATACAGGTATCATAAAAACATTTCTAGGGCCAGGGATTTAGCTCAGTGGTGTCGCCACCTGCCTCTCACAAGCACAAGATCTTGAGTTCAATCCCCAGTACCAAAAACCAAAAAAAAAACAAAACCAAAACACCTAAATGGGATACTGATTTTCATCCTTGAATCTTTGAAGGACTGAAATCCCTTACTAGTTTATTACTATAATAAATATTCCAGAGAGCAGACTCCCTACCCTGTACACAAACTCTCCAACTGCTGTTTTACATGCAGAGAACTGACCTGTGTTACTTGCATTTTTAGCAGCTTTCACAGAATCTGCAGGAGCCCCATCTGAAAAACTAAGAGTTTAAAAGTATTACCATAAAGTTCCAAAAGAAAAAAGGTAAGTGAATACTTTTCTAATTTCTTCAATATACTGTATTAAGAAGGATCTCTCTACAGTGACTTCAGATTTATATCTAAGAGAACACAGACACGCATGTCTGTTACCTAAGAGAGACTTCCCTTCCTGCTCTGGAAAAAACAAAACAAAAGTACCACTCAGCAACCCCTGTCATCCAACATATAGGCTGCCCTGATGGTTCTATTTGCAAGCTTTGTCAAAGCTTCTGTCTTTATTTCTACAACCTCCTTCCTCAAATGTCTTCTTCTAGCCCTTAAACCAAACCAATCAACATGATATTACATGATCAGCTGCTCAGGTGATCAAGCAGTGTCCACAGTGCCCTCTGCCCTCTGAAAGTCAGTGATACAGGCTGCAAACACAATGGAGCTCAATGAAAACAGCCCTCAGAGTTTTCATGAGAAAACTGCTCAAACATACCTTCCTTATGAAAAATAAACATCAAAGAAAATGAAAAACCAATACTGACCTTGAACAATCTACAAAAAAAAAAAAAAAAAAATCTTTCCTTTGACCACTGATGGTTACATCGAGTTACTTACGTAACTCTTTCCAGGGAGGATGGAGGTAGGGTTAAAACCTGGGAAACAAAATGACTGTTTTCCATGGTTTACAAGCACAATGTTCACCTCTGAAGTGGAAGCAATTTCTTTACCAACTCAGATATTTACACACAAAACAGGCATCAGCTACACTTTCAACGAACTTTTTTTTTTTTATAAGACAAAGTCTTGCCATGTAGTTCTAATCAGCTTTCAACTCGATATGCACCCTAGGTTGGCCTCAAACTTGCAGCAATTCTCCTGCCTCAACCTCCTGAGTGCTGAGATTATAGGCATATGTCACTACGCTCAACAAATACACTTAATTTTGATTCTAAAGTTTTCTGAAATATAGCCTGGCTCTTGCTTGCCAACTACATTTTAAAACTCCAATACACAAAGTTCATTTTGGCTTACCTGTTATCTGCCATCTGAATGCTTTTATCCCCTATAAATTAAAAAGAATTACAATTATATTCACAAACAAAAACACTTACTTAGATGTATTATTCAAACTGATCATGTGAGGGATGGAAATATACTAGAAGGGGCTGGATAGACCTTTCTGGGTGGATGAAATGTCCCAGATCTTGCCTAGTGTTACTTACATACACAGTTATCACCATTCATTAAATGTTATTACACATAAGATCTATACAATTACAAGCAAAATTTTACTCATAAAATCTATTACTAGCCCTAAAATGACCAGATTTCACAACATCAATTCAAAGTTGTCTTACCTCTATCATAAATTTAGCAGAACATTTAGTAATGCTAGTCCAGTTATTTTAGAGCAATTCAAAGCAACCAGTGTTTACACTATTGCCCAAACTAACCCACAGAGCGATACTCTGCTTTTATCTGCTCATTTTGTATCTTTTATTACTACTATGCTGAAGATGTACTACTGTGTAAAAATTACATAATACACTCAATATGATCCACTTTTATAAGACATTTAAATAAATTATCTCATTGGGTATGGTGGTGCACACCTGTAATCCCAGCACTCAGGAGGCTGAGGAAGGAGGATTACTGGGAGTTTGAGGCCAGCCTGGACTACATAGTGAGTTTGAGACCAGCAAGGCCCTGTCTCAACCAAAACACAAACAAACAAACAAACAAACAACTCCAGATTATCCCTGGTGGTAGAATTAGGCAATTTTCTACGTACGAATAACAAAGATGGATTCTAGGGTGCTTTTAAAACAAAAGTTATCACCTAAAATGTACTAATAAAATTAATGAATTAAAAAAATCAGTTATTTAATTCTTAGTATTTCTTAAATGAAAAAACTTGACAACAAAATTTTAAAAACTGATCTCAATGCATTCAAGGTAGCACCTAAATGCATTGCTTCAAAGGGCCTTCTGTGTGCTGTGTCTGAAGTGGGTTAGGGGTTTTTTATACTCATGCATGTGACAACACTGCAGCGCTTCTTCTGAGACTGCTGTTCCAGCTGAAACCTGCCTACTGTCTCATTCTCAGTATCTAAGCAAAGCCCAAACCACTCACCCACAAAGCTTTATGGAAATACAGAACAAGAAACTTGTATTTTTGAAAAATAACTCCAATTAGAATTTATGATCCATGAGTTGGGTGTGGTGGTGGTACACACCTGTAAACCTAGCAAATGGGAGGATGAAGTAGGAGAATCAAAAGTTTGAGGCCAGACTGGACTCCATATATAGCAAGACTCTGCCCCCACTCCCAAAGACAATGATGACAACAAAAGGGCAATCTACAATTGTTTTGTATTTAATTCAAGTGTATTTTCTTTTGTATTAGATTTTTTTATTGTTTCAAAATATGCAAAAATACTACAGAAATATTATATTGTCTTTTTCATAAGACAGTTCTGGCTATTCCCACACCACCACCATAGCAGCCAAGCCTAGTTCCATCTCAAGTGAGATTTTTAAAACCCTCCAACTATAAATAAATACTAATTTGTTTTAAAAAATAAAAACCCTTTGATGGTCACCATCACTTTATGCAGAGTCTAAATTCATACCACATGGGATCCAAATTCCTACACTCTTTAGCCTGCCCACCTCACCACTCTATTTCCAATGCTCCTTCTGCTGCAATCAGGGGCTCCCAAGCTGATAATGCGCCTGTTTTCTCATATTATAAATGCAAGCGGTGAAATGGGTAGATCTTCATAGTAACTACATTTGAGAACAAAATTCTGAGTGAACACGCCATTTGCCAGTTGGGAAACAATGATGTGGGGGTTTTCTATGATAACACTTTTGGCAATGGTCTCTGTGAACATCTTAGTTTAATAAGCCTTTCCACCCTTCAGTTATTCTTTAATTTATATGGCATTAATAAGTAGCACTTCACTGTCTGACAGAGTTATGAGTGGGTCCTCATACTGCCAAACTGGTTTTGCATTGGAATCATCTACACTTTAGCAACAAAATTAAATCTCTCCACTGCCTAATATACACCCAAAAGCACCTTCCCTAGACTACGCACACACTAATTGTTGCCCACTACTCTGCCAGTGAAAGTAACTACCACAGCCTGTTTAATAGAGTCATTTTCACCAACAAATCAATATTACCAATAAGGTCACATCTTAGTTTCCAACACTTCTTAGGTGATGTACCAAGTACTGTTTTACATTCACATGAGCTCAACCAAGGAGGGATTAACCTCAGTTTATAAGTGTGGAAGCTGAGGCCCTAGTCTGTTACATGGCTAACAAGATGCGGAAATGGGTCCCAAATCCAGATCCTTCTAACATCTCTGTACTGTCACTCTTTACTGCCTCATCTCTTTACCCCTTGCTGCTTCTACCTGCTCAATCAAAGATTTTGCTACTAGCTCCAGCAGGGTTAGAATCCCAGTTTGGTCAGAGTCCCATGAAAGAAGTTCACTGTGTCTGAAAAGAATGAAACTGGGCATAGTGTATACACCTGTACTCTCAGCTGTTCAGGAGGCTAGGGGAGGAGAATGGTGAATTCAAGGCCAGCCTGGGCAACTTAGCAAGAATCTGTCACAAAACTTAAACATTATAAAGAAAGAAAGAAAGAAAAAACCAGAAAGCCAGCCAGGTGAGTGTGGTGCTGTAGTATGTAATCCTAGCACTCTGGGAGATAGGAGAAAAACCACAAATTCATTGCTAGAGCAGGGGTTCAATCCCTAGTACTGAAATAAGCAAATACATACCTGGATGAAAATCTTCCCTTTCTATTCTGTTCACTACGCAGCCACAGAGTATGTGCTCCTGCATAGTAAGTATTCTAAATGCACAAACACCTATCTCTAGACAAAGGCCAAACAGACTCACCTTTCCATATGACACCTACTCTAACTTCTAGACTCCTCCAATATTCATTTTCATCTATGTGAAGATATGCGCTGTTTAAGACTATACTTTGTGATTTAATGCAAGGCACTTGAGTAAAAACTGACACAATGATCACAACTACAATGTACTAAATCAAGAAAAGAAAGAGAAAAAATGAATTTAAACAGTGGGAAGGAAAATAATTTTAAAAACCAACAAATCAACCTAGAACTCAATCCCCAGGACAAAACAAACATGGATTATGAACAATGTGGTTTTGATCTGGGCTTGAACAAGGGAAAACGTACAGTGGTGACACCTTATAAACAAGGTAAGAGTTCAATTAGTCGTATTTCATCACCACAAATTATTTACCTTTATTTAGCAATCCCTAACACTGTTTAAATAGAAAGTTATGAAGAACTATGAAATTTGCAAGCTTGAGAAAAATAAACATCTTTTTTTGGGGGGTTTCAGCTATTGTGTACTTTTTTTTTTTTCCTTCTCATTTGAGTTTAATGGTACATTTTAGGCATACAGTACAGTTACATTCATCATTGAGATCTTGTACCTTTACATGACAGGTCTTGGTGCTCATTTTTTCCCCATTCCCCTGCCCTCCCTTCACCCCCTCCTCACTTCCCTATTTACAAAAACATTATTTACACTTTTTCATTTTCTTATATTTTTTTTCTTTTCCCTTATTTCCTTTCCCTACACCTTTAGCCCATTTCTTCCTATTTCACATTGTCAACTATACCATTAGGATCTTATTTACAATTATAGTTTTTCACACCAGAGCAACTATTCAGTATTTACACGTGGGACTTATTTCACTTAAGAGTATATCCTCAATATGCATCCATTTTCCTATGAATGACTCTAATTTCTCATTCTTTATGGCTGAGTAGTATTCCATTTAATAAAAAAACCACATCTTCTTTATCCAGTCTCCAACTGATAGGCAAATGGGCTATTTCCAAGCTTTAGCTATTACAAACTGTTTTGTTATAAACATGGGTGTGCATATAACACGCATTTATTTTAAATGTTGGAATGTAGGGACCAGGGATTTAGCTCAGTGATGATGTGCCTGCCTGCCAAAGGTAAGGTCCTGAGTTCAAGTTCCAACACACACAAAAAAAAGTTGGAATGACAAATTTAATGTCAGTTTCAAGAAGACACAGTTCCAAGACTTGCCAGCAAGGTTCAAAAGGAATCAAGAATGTGAGTGTGGTGACAAACACCTAGAATAATCTCAGTATTCAGGAGGTTGAGCCAGGAGGATAGCTGAGTTCAAGGTCAGCCTGGGCTACATAATAAGAGGCTGTCTCAAAAAACTAAAATCAAACGGTAAACAAAGCAACAAAAGAAACCAAGAAATCTACCAGGCTACAACTGGGTAGCTGTGGTTAATAACAATATACTGTGTATGTGAGAATCCCTGAGAAGAGATCAAGTGTTCTCAACACTCAAACATGGTAAGGGAGGTAATGCTTATGTTAATTAGCTTGATTTAGCCATCTTCATCTCTAGTTACTTCAAAACATCATGTAGGGGAGGGGCAGCGTGTATGCCTTTAATTCTAGGTACTAGAAGGCTGAAGCAGGAGAATGGTAAGTTTGAGGCTGTGTTAAAAGTACAATTCTAAAAGGGGCTTAGGATGTGGCTTGGTGACAGAGTGCTAGCAGGCCCAAGGTCCAGGGTTCAATTCCCAGTACTGCAAATAAATACATAAATAAATACATCATGCCATGTACCATGTATAGCTTAAATAAAAGGTGTCCAGGTGTGGTGGTGCACACCTGTAATTTCAGCACTCGAGAAGCAGGCGGACTAATTCGCATTTGCAGCTCACCTGGACACTACATGTTATGAGAGAACACTGTCTCAAAAAACAAAATAAAAATAAATACATGGTAATCAAGTTAGAATATTAAAGGGACATCAGGCAAAACAATAGTCTCAGTTTTCAAAAGAATGTAACAGTTCAGGTTCCCTCCCAGGTTCAATGTTCTGCTTTTAATTGCTGCGGGACCCTACAAAAATCCTATTAATTTCCATTTACCCCAAAGATGCTGTTTTCATGGAGGAAAACATTTTTTTTAGGTTGCAACAAATTTTCCAATATAATTTAAAAATATTTTTTGTTTGTTTTCAGGACAGGTCCTTACTATGTACTTCAGGCTGGTCTTGAACTCACTATGTACCATAGGCAGGCCTTGAACTTGCAGTCATCCTCCTACCTCTAGCCTCCCAAAAGCTGGGACTGCAAGCATGCACCAATACATCCAACAAAATTCCTAATTTTCCCAAGTTCAATCCCCGGTACCACAAAAAAAAAAAAAAAAAAAAAAAAAAAAAAAATCCTAATTTGTAACTGAAAACCTTTAGTCTATAGCTAATGTAACTATATAATTTCAAATCAAACCACTTTTGAGAGACAAAAGTGTAAGCTGGGCAGTGTGGTCATACTTCATAAAGCCTGTTTTTATACATTTATCATCTTAACTCAAAGGTCTTCAATGTCTTTATAGAGCCCACACTATCCTATTTCAAATTACAAGTAACCAAAGACCTCACTCCTCTCTATTTTTTTCATTAAAGCAACTTCCACTATCTAACTTGCTTCTCTGTTTCCCACATCAGCAACAAGAGCAAGGCCTTTTGTCTGTTTTATTCAGTGGGCACCTGCAGTACCCAGATTTGTGCCCCACACGGATGAGGCTCATTAGTGAATGAGCTTGTGAATGAGTAAACAGATACCAGGCCCTAAAAGCTACTCTGCAATAACTGAGTAAAGACTACTATTTTAGATTATACTCTATACATAAAATGCAGAACCCATCTTTTCTACCATAAACTACTAAACAAATCACCTCACCTTGTTTCTGAACAGGTTTTCCCCTGGGTGCAGCATGGAAGCACATTTAGTTATGAGAGTAAACTTAGCAGAGTAAGAGGAAATTTAAGACTACACAGAGAACAGTCAAGATCAAAAGGTAAAGTTCACAAAGCCATCTTCTGTAGTTTTCATATTACAAACACAATGCCCCTCCTTTTATTAATACTCAACAAAATTTAAAATTCAACAGCAAGCCAAATAAACAAGTTGGGCTTCCTCTTTAGTGGGCAAAATGGAAAAACCAATGACTGCCAGATGAAAACATCTGTATCATCAAAAACATTTCTTAAAAATGTCTTTAACAGAGCCAGGCATGGCGGCACACATCTGTGTTCCCCGTACTAGGGAGGCGGAGGCATGAATTCAAGGCCAGCCTACACAGAGAGTTCTGGGCCAGCCTGAACTACAAAGGGAGTTCCTGCCTCAAAAAAAGTCTTTAACAAACACAAAACACTACTGACTAATAAGATTTCCCAGTAATCAACTATATGTGCTCTAAGACAAATCTCACAACTGAAGTTTGAGGAGGCTTCAATTTGCTAAGGAGAGGGTTGGAAGAGTGGTTTCCTGCAATTCGTATCAGCTCCTTTCCATCACTACAGTGGCAGAAGAGTCAAAACTAGAACTGGCCTTTTATTTCAGATACCTAAACAATGCATTTTTTTTTTTTCTTCTTCTTCTTCTTCTTCTTCTTCTTCTTCTTCTTCTTGTGCTACACTACATTCCCAGCCCTTTTAAAATTTTGAGACAGCTTCTAAGTTGCCCAGGCTGGGCTTGAATTTACAACCCTTTTGCCTAGTCTCCCAGAGTGCTGGGACTACAAGTATGAACCACCATAGCAGGCTAACCCAGCTAGCCCTTTTCACTGTGAAAAGTCTTGCTAAATTGACCAGGCAAGCATTGAATTTGCTAATCTCCTGCCTCAGCTCTGGGTTTGCTGGGATTACAGGCAGGTGCCAACTTCCCTTTGAACAAAAAAGTGCTCTTTGGCCAAAAAGCTCAGCCTAAAGGCTCAACAAGCTCATTGCTGCTGGCTTATTATTTATTCAGGCATAGGCTATCACCGGAAGGATGGATCCAAACAGCATTCTGCCACTGCATTTCATACAGCTGACGGCCCTTAGGCCTTCTCCCCAAACAAAAATTTTAGGTTCTCTGGCAAAATTTCTGTAAGAACAATGCAAACTTACCAAAACAGGTTTTAAACTGTACATACCAAAGGAAAAGAAGAAAAGAATCTCTAAAAGGAAGTAATTCTGGGCGGTGTTGGAGGTGCCCGAATCCCAGCATTATGGGAGACTGAGGCAGGAGGATTATGAGTTCAAACCCACCATAGGCAACGTATACCCTATTTGGAAAAAAAAAATTTCCCCAAAATTCCACAGGTAAGTCTGATCATCTAAATGGCTATCACAAAGCCATTATACCCTGTGTGTTCTGAAGACAAAAATCCTGAAACACAATGTATTCTTTTCAGAAATCAAGTGATCAAGGTTATCAAATCTAAAAATGATGAAACTGGCTATTGCAAATAACGAGACCAATTCTTCCATTTACTACTCAAATTCACTTTGAAAAAATAGTATATTCAAAGCTAGTAAAACAAAATCTAGCACTGCCTGCTTCATAAGCACAAGGTCCCAAATTCAATCCCCAGTGTCAAAAAAAAAAATCTAAAGATGAGTGTTCAGCTGTTATATCCAATGGCACAGATAACAGAACTTCCAAACCAGATCAGAAAAAAAGATTGCAAATAGTGAATAATAACAGCTAAGACAGCAACAGTGTTAAAATGATGCATGAACTCATGGGAAGCATTTAGCGTTCTAGGAGACAAGGGAATTATAAAATAAAAAGATCATCCAACTCAAGTCCTCAAAAGCCAGAGTTCAGTTAGGCTCAGTACAATAAAGATAATGTAATTTCCCCTTAAAATCTTTTTGTCGTTATTGCTTTGAAGCTATATAATCCAGGCTGGCCTCCAACTATATAGCCCAGGCTGGCCTTGAACTCGCAGTGCTCCTCCTGACTCAGCCTCCCAAGGACTGGGATTCTAGGCCTCTAGGATTATAAACCACTGCTGAGATTATATTAATGCATGCCCCATTGCAACTTTTCATTTCCTCGGAAGAAGCAGGAAATCTAGACAAAGTTAAAACTATAAGGGTTTTAATCCAAGCTCTGTCATCTTGGGTAATTCATTACATTAACATCTCAGGGCCTCAGTTTCCCCAGCCACAAAATGAGAAACAATACAGGTTTGAGGATTCCTACACCAAAAATCTTAAACACTTCAAAACCTGTAATTTTTTCAGCATTGTCAGATTTCGAATTTCCAGATTAAGGAAGCTCATCTCTTAAGTCTATGTAAATATTTCAAAACTTGAAAAACTCCAAAATCGGAAACACTTTGGGTCCCAAGCATTTCAGGTAAGGGACAGCTATTTAAACTGCATAGATTAATTAGTATGACATGACTTAATACATGCAGAGAGCTGAGAGGAGCCCCTGGTGTGTAGGAAGCGGTTAGTCATTCAGAAGTATAGTCTTACTACTGCAAGAAAGCAGTAACTTAAAAATATTGTACTTAACTTTTCAGGGCCAACTACTTAATCGCCATACTTGCACATTTTTAATACAAGACAACTTCCATAGGCTTGTTTTTTATATACCGAAGCGCACTAAGACGAGTAGGACTTGTTTCAAAAGGCAACAGTAGTTAGGCGAAAAAGCATCAACCTATTCACCACCACCCCCATTCCTCTGAGAAAGCAGAGAAGCCCAAGAAGCCACAAAGACCCCAACAGACGAAGCGACGCACCTTAGGGCCCTAAGGGATAAATGTTGGAATCTGCCATTACCAGACACTAAGCATGGTCTGTCATCCCGCCGCCTAATCGGGCTTAGACAGAGACCTGTGGACGGTAGAAAGTCTTATCGTGACCATGTATGTAATGCTCTGCTAGGACCGACAAAAAGCCTTCAGAAAAGAAAGGAGGGATGTGTGGTGGGGGGAAACCAAGTAGCTTAATCGGCAAAAATACACAAATGGGTCTCTTCCGACCTCTGAACTTCGAGAAACGGTGGGGACTTTCCTACATAAAGCAAGTGCGGACCGCTAAACTCCTCTCTTCTGAAAGGTGGTTTTAACAGTAAAACCAGCTCGAGGCCCACCTTGCCCGGTACTTAAACACCCCCAGGACATCAGTCCAGGACCCTTAGTCAAGTTCTCCGAAATGGGAGAGGTAGGGCTTCTCGCTCTCGAGGCACTGAGGTCTTTTCTCCCTCTGCCACCCCGACTGTCGAAGCCGTAGCCCACCGTAACCCGTCGCGCCGCCGGGGCTCACGACCCGTCCTACAGGCAGGACCCTCCGTCCCGTTCGTCCGGTTGGAGCGCTCCGCGAGGCTGGGGGCGCGGTGTCCAGCTGCACGTGCGCGCCGGAGAACGGGGAGGAGGCCGAGGCGGGAACAAAGCGCGGCTGACCTTCAGCGGGGTACCGGGCGGGCGGAGGGAAGGGGAGGGGATGCGCCTCTCTATGGAGTTCAGGCTGGCCTTGAACTCACTGTGTTCGCTCAGGCTGGCCCCAAACTAGTGATCTTCCTGCTTCCGCTTCCTTAGAGCTGGGATTACGGGCGACACCACACATCCAGATCTATTTCTGACTTTTTGATTTATAGCCATCTAGTGGGTGGGAAATGCTACCTCATGACTTTGATTTGCATTTCCCGAATGGTTAATGATGTTGGACATCTTTCCTTGAGCTCATTGGCCATTTATACAGTCTTTAGAGATAATTAAAATCCTTTGATTTTTAATTGAATTATTTGCCTTTTTAGCCATGTAGTCTACATGCTTTTTAACTAAAATGTTTCATAAAACCAGTCCGGTTTCCCTTCCCGCCAAGCCTCCTCCCTGCTTGCTAGACCAGTGCGCCGTTAGCCGATAGCACCTCGCAAGTCGCACCTCGCGCCTCCTGCGGCAGTGGCAGCAGTACCTCCGCTCGCTCCCGGGATGCGCCGCCGTGGCCGCCAACAACGCAGGCGCCCATTGGTTGAATCGCCTGGCTCCTCCCTTCGCTAGCAAGACGGGCTTCGATTGGGCAAGCACGACGCAAGTCAACTAAATTTAGGCCGCCGCGCTGCGCTCAGGCTCGGCAGCCGTATGCAAATATTATGATGACGTATTTCGCAGCGCGCGAAGCGTCTTGCGCCTCTTTAAAGGGGCGTGCGCAGCGCAACGCCGCTGGGCTCTCCTCTGCGCATGGGGATTGATGTTATCCCCTTTTTGTGTGGCTCTTTTCTTACAATTTGCGGCGCTGGTGTACTGGGCTAGCAGTTTCCCGCTGTGAGGCAGCGCCTCCTAACTTGCGTTTTGATTTCACTCCAGCCCCAGTGCAGTCTCACTCGAACCTCGAGCCTCCAGTACATATTGTACCCTAGTTCACCCCCTCTCCATCCTATGCCCGTTGGCCTCTTCTCGGCCGTTTCCACCCTCCACTACGAGCCCCAGGCCAGTAGAGGATATCAGGGCCGGCTGCTTCCTTGCACCAGACACGGCCCAGCCTCCTGGCTTCCCATCAACCCAGCTCACGGTATCTCAGCAGCCTAGACAGGGCAATAGCAGCCCTGCTGTCCCTCCCTGGAGGGTTCCTTCCACCTATTCTGGGACCCCACCCTCATGTCCCATATGGTAGAAAAGCATCCGATTTAGCCGGAAGATCAGATTCCCTAGGCAGGTGCTCCGGAGGCTGGCTCATCTCCAAGCTCAACACCATATAAGTCTTTGACTTTTTGTGCATTTCTTTAGAAACATTACCTTTCTCCAGTTGAGGTTGCCTCTGGAATAATTTCTAATTGATATTTTTAAAGGAAATTATTCTATATTCAGTTTATAAAAAGTTTTTTAAGGCCTCCCTAAGGACTTCTGGTGGAGGTGGCCAGCGTCTATCTACAGGCATGCCCCACACAGTGAATTTGTTAGCCTGTGTACCAGACTCACTGTTCCACAAATATTGGAGAACGAAGTTGTGAAAGAAAGCAGGAGGTTTGGAGAGTTTTCATTGGAAATAAGAGGAAGACCAGCTCATGGACTTCTCGGAGAGGTTCCTTGTGGGTTGTCACTGAGGCCCCACAGTCTAGAGTCACATATAGGTATGCAGGGCATGGGAATCACTTGTTTAGTGTATGTTATAAACAGTGTGCGAGAGACCGCCTGGACACAGGCTTTATGTGAGCAAAAGGCTGATTTATTCTATCTGGGTGCAGACAGGCTGCGATTGAGAAAGATGTCAGCAATTCACCAGAGAAGAAGTTATAGGACTTGGGGATGAGGGTTGTAATCCTAAGGAATCTGGAATGGAACGCTTACCTTCCCAGTAAGGTCAGTGTAGGTGTGTCGATAATACCGGACTTTTTGGCACTGGGAGGACGTATGTCCTGTCCTAAATTTTCATTACGGCCATCTGTTCTGTTGACTGAAGGCAGCATGGCCCTTTGGTGGTTTTCTATTGTTTGTGGAGGGCAACATGTTTGCTGACAGGGCCCCACTTAGGTCAGGCATGACACTGGACACCTATCCCGGGTGGCTGTGTGAAGTTTAACAAAGTGACCAATTGGAATTCATGCTGACTCAGTTCTTTCACACAGTGTTTACAGTGAACTGGAATCTTAGAAAGACTAATTATTTTGCATTATAATTTCCTTAAAACTCAGGAATTTGGTAGGGAGTGGCTGCCTCTCTTAACTGCTGTTAAAGGGAGAATGGGCAAAGAACAAATCTAGTTGCTTCATGCTGAAAGGGGTCCATGTAGGGGGGAAAGTAGTCAGGAACTTTTTCCAGAAAATGAATCTAAGGGACTTTTGAGAGATGCGATATTAGAGTTCAGTGGTTCGGAACTCTCTTAAGAAAGTGGATCTAGTGGATGTGGTAAAAGGAATCAGACACTTTCACTGTTGGCTCCATCTGGGTGATGACCATTTGGAATTTGACAGCCTTTAGGTGGGAAGAAACACATTTTACCCAGAAATAAAGAATGCATGGCCCAAACATAACCAGAATAGAGAGACAACTTGGGGGAAAGAGCTAAGTTTAGACAATAATTTTAAGGGATTGGAATGGGGACTATAACTGTCTGAGTCTTAGTCCTTTCTGTTCATGCAGGTTATCTTTCAAAATTGTTTTAAGATCTTTTTTCACCTGATGTTAATTATTTATCTGAAGACAAGTTTCAAAGTCCTTCACATTTTAGCTGTAAGAAGATGGAGAGAAAGCTCTGTGGTCTTTAAGCCACCTCACCCCATGCTCTCCTGGGTCACCAGGGCCACTTGGGTGGGGAACTTCTAGGGCTAGGTTCTGCCAGGAGGGAGCCCCAGGAGGGAGCCCCAAGAGCTCCTGGCCAGATGTAGCTGTCCACAGTCCCGAGGCCCTGCTGAAACATCACAGTACTACTATTTCAGGCTGCACACTGCTGGGCACCTACTGCTTGAGCTCTGTTCAGATGAGAGACTTCTAAACTAGACAGCATGGCTCTCTATTCAGTTTATTGCATGAAGGAGTTACACTAGTCCAAGTGAAAGTGGACCCCAAAGAGTTACATTATAGAATCTGTGAGGTCTTTAACCTTGTGACAAGGATCAGAAGGGACAGTCTACTCATTGCAAGGAAATCTTCACTTAAGCTTCAACGAGCCACAAGCACTTGAGACCCATGAGCCTTCAGCTGATCGTTCTTAGCCAGTCCAGTCTCTACCAGGAACTGACATATGTTCTTGTACTTGTCCCCTTGAAGCTGGATTACATCTCCACATTCTGGATGCTCAATTACAGTACCATTGCAGGCAAATTTCTTCTTAAATGCCTTCACCAGTTTCTTTTTATTGTAATCATCAGCAATCCCTTGGATGGTGGTAAGGGTCTTCCTGCCATTTCTGGTGGATTCTTAGATGGATATAATCTGGCAGGAAGCAGGTAATTACCCTTAGTTGAATCAGCAAAGGGGTCAAAAGAGTGGAGGTTCTGGATAGTGGGCATATGACTCCTTGTTCTGGGTGTAAATGGCGTGTGGAATGCGGCTGAGGGGAGGTGGGTGGGATTGGAGGTGGATCCCCAGACAGCAGGGGCTCACAGGGGAGACAGCTGAGTCCTTGGTGGTGGCTCATTGTCTGGGTCCTTTGAGGGCAATTTTAGCTAAGGGATGTGAAGTCTTGCTGAGCTTCTGTATCATGAACTGTAATAATGGTCAGCTGCAGGTGTAGCTGGAGACTGCCAGCAGGGGCCAGTGTAGTAGTTGGAGCCCTCTTTTTTATAGAGTATCATTTTGATTATACTTTTTTGCTGAATGGTCAAGACCAAGTTAAGGTAAGACCTGTAGTAACCAAAATTAACCTCTCCCTCTCTGTATCAAGGTCAGTTAAGGCACCCATGGGGTTACTTTTGGGACCATGTACAGAACCTCTTAGCATCTCTGTCAGTGTCAGCTGTCAGGATGGGTCACAGTCTTGCTTGACCAAGTAGTTTCCTGTGGAAGGATGGTAGACATTTCTATCTTTGGCGACCCTCTTTTTAAAAAAAAATTTTATTGGTGCAATTTAGATTTACATAATGATCATGTTTAACATAGGGAATTTATACCTTCACATGATGTATCTTATTCTTTTTTTCCCCATTCCCTTCCCCTCCCTTCAACTTCTCTTTCCCGTCCTTATTTATAAAAGACCTGTTTGTTTTTCTTTTTTGTCATTTATTTTTCCTTTCTTCCTTTCCCTTTTCCCCTAGTTCCCCTTTCCTTTTGAACAATTTTTTACTTCATATTGTCTATTATACATTTTGTTCCCTATTTACACTTTCAGTTTCTTATACTAGAGAGACAATGCGATATGCACACGTGTGTCCAATTTATTTCACTTGAGTACAGCTACAAAGTGCATCCCTTTAGCTATAAATGCTTCAAGTTTATCCTTCTTTGTGGCTGAGTAGTACTCCATTGTACAGAAAAACCACATCTTTATTCATCAGTTGATGGGCATTTGGGTTATTTTCAAGATGTAGCTATTACAAACTGTGTTCGATAAACATGGGTGCCCATATATCACTGTGGTATGATGCTTTTAATTCTTTTGGGGGGATACGCAGAAGAGGAATAGCTGGGTTAAATGGGACCTCTAGTCCTAGTTTGTTTGTTTTTCAGTACTGGGGATCAAATTCAGGACCTTTCACTTGCCAGGCAGGCGTGGTGCCACTGAGCTACATCCCCAGCCCTAATCTTAGTTTTTTTGTGGTATCTTCTGATTTCCACGGTGGTTGCACTAGTCTGCACTCCCACCGATTGTGGAGAAGAGTTCTGTTTTTCCCCACATCCCCACCAGCATTTATTGTTGGTTTTATTTTTTTTAATTTATTTTTTATTTTTTTGAGGCAGGCTCTCCCTTTGTAGTTCAGGCTGACCCTGAACTCACTACGTAGCCCAGGCTGGCCTCAAACTCACAGCAATCCTCCTGCCTCAGCCTCTGGAGTGCTGGTATTACAGGCATGTGCCACCACACCCAGCTCTTGCTATCTTGATATTAGTCATTGTTTCTGGAGTGAGATGGTATCTCAGTGTTATTTTAATTTGCATCTCTCAAATGACCAGTGATGTTGAACATTTCTTCAAATATTTATTTGCTGATGCATTTCTTCATCTGAGATGTGTCTGCTCATTTCAGATGGCCACTTTTGGATTGGGTCTTTAAATTTGGGGGGGGTGATTTTTTTTCAATTCTTTGTCTAAGGGATTAGTGGCTAGAATCTTTTCCCACTCTGTGGGTTGTCTTTTCACTCTGGTGTTGATTTCTTTGGCAGTGCAAACACTTTCTAATAGGCTGAGATCCCAGTTGTTGATTCTTTGTATTATTTCCTTTGCAGTCTGAATTTTGTTCATGAAGTCTTTGCCTATCCCTATGTCCTCAAGGGTTCTCCCTATTCTCTCTTCCAGCAGATTTAGTGTTTCTGTTTTTTTTTTTGGTACCAGGGATTGAACTCGGGTCTTTGCGCTTGCAAGGCAGGCCACCAAACCGCTGAGCTAAATCCCCAGCCCTAGTGTTTGTTTTTATATTTAGATCTTTGATCCATTTTTATTTTAGTTTAGTGCATGGCGAGAGACATGGGGGTGGCGACCCTTCTTTTTAGCACACTGAACACTGAACGTCGACTCTTTTCTTTTGGGGTGCAACAATCTTCCTGCTCAAGAGGTTGGGTGACTCACCAGAGTTGTAGGATCTTGTAGAAAGGTGCCCTCATATTTTGGGTCCTTGTTGCTGTTGGAGGGCAAGGGCCATCTTCTTAGCCCAGTCATCTTTTTTTAGCTTTGGTCTCCAAACCTCAGTTGTTGAACACCCAAGAGATCAGTTACACCAGTATTACAGTGGGAGTAGTAGGTTTAACTATCATAATCTTACCTGAATATCAAGTACCTTGAATATATAGTATGACCAGAGAGCTATTATTTTTTTGGTCAGACATGGTTGTCTTAGAAATAAAACTCCTGTAGAATGTTAATAGATAACAATCATAAGGGCTGGGGATTTAGCTCAGTGGTTCTGCCGCCTGCCTCACAAGTGCAAGGTCCCAAGTTCGATCTCCGCTACCCAAAAAAATAAAAATAAAAAAATAAAAAATAAAAATTATAGAGTTTTACAAAGAAGGTTTGAAATCAAGAGCAACATAGCATTTTTTGTTTTGTTTTGAGACAGGGTCTCACAATGTAGTTCAGACTGGCCTGCTACACAGGCAGGAAGTGATTTGTTGAAAACCCTGAATTGCTTTGTATTGCTTTGTCCAGTTTATATTTATATTTAACACTACAGTGATTTTCCACCTTGCATGTTTTTTCTCTTACATTAAAATCTTGACTGCTGACATAAATATTCCTATTTGCTTTGTCTCAGAATGGTTTGAAAATAACTCTGTCAATATTATTAACAACAAAACTACTGCGTATGTTTCCCATAGTAATCGTGGGCTCTCCCAAGATCCTGTGAGGCACAGGTAGGCTTAGCTGGGTGTGCACTGTGCCTGAACCACACTGCCTTAGTCAGTAGCACATGCATGGCGGACTTGTACATACATCTGTCTTCAAGAGTTTCCCCACAAGTAGGATAACAAGGAAGGGGCAGTGTGTCTCAGGCCAGCACCACCACCCTCCCCGCATAGGCCCACCCCACAACCACCTGTTGTCCTATGGAGCAGATCTAGTACTAATCTTTGCAAGCATGAGGCAGGTTAATGCTCCTGCTTATACTTTTCTCTAGCAGGGTATAGGGCATGTTTGTGTGCGTGCTGTCAGCCCCAGTGAGCACTATGCAGGAACCTAAGGCCAGTACACCCCCCTTCCCCCAGGACTAGCTGACCAACACCCTGGCCGTGCCCAGATCCTTATCTCACCCACCAGCAGATCCTGGGCTCCCTCTTACCAGGGCAGCCCTGGCAGTTGGCCAGGGACCGCCCCACAGAGCCCTGGTCCTGTGGCAGTAAAGTGGAGCTGTTCTACTGGAAGCTGCTGTGAGTGTATTCATCAGAGGGAAGGGCAGACTGAGCAGCCTTTGTCTGGGCCCAGCAGGATCCGCCAGGCTGAGCCAGCCTTTTTTCTACTCCAAATAGCTCCGATTGCGCCCACACAGCAGAGATTAGCAAGAGCTGCCAGCATGTGCAATGAGAAATTCCTGGACTGGCTCAACTGACTGAGTGCCTGTCACAACCTGCTGATCAAGCAGCCGCTGCAGGCAGTCAGGTGCCAAGTGTGCAGGGTGATGGAGAGACAGCAGAGCAGGCCTCACTGTTCAGAAGAATTTATTAAAGTGTCTCAGAGTGCTGACGACATGCACCTGTATGAACATGGCTCTCAGTTTAGGATCCAAGGACAGCTGTAAACATGACGGGAGTATAGGATGTCGTCACCAGGCAGAGGTCCTCAGTCCAGAATGGCCAGACTTGGGATATGGCCTTGTGCCTCTTCACTGAAGGCTTCCATTCTGAACCATCTGCAAATAATCCTTGTGGAGCTTCTCCTGTGCTTCGAACAGCTTTCTCAGCTTTTTGGCCTGCCCCTTGCTCAGCTCCTTGCCCTCCGTGTCATGTGTAGGCAGCCCCTGGAAGGACAGAATAGCACCATCAGGATCCTCCAACACCCCGCCTACCCCTTCTGCCCGTATCAGCTCATTTCCCCAACCTGGCCACATCCACTTGCATGCACGTCTGGCCACCACCCCGCTCTGGGACCAACATGCTGGTCCTGCAGCACTGGCTCTAGGAGCTAAGAATGGAAAGAGTGACAAGAGCTGGACACACTGGGGTCTGGGTGAGGAACACTGTCCTCATCAGGCCCTACCAGCGCTCAACTGTGAGGTGGCTAAGCTCGAAGGTATGTAGCAAATACATCGAAGAACAAGTGAGGAGAGGCCTAAAGGGCCAGAGGTAAAGTCTTAAGGCAGACGCCAAGGATCCATGGCCTGACACTTAGTGGCAGGGTCCCTGTAGAACCTTGGGATTTCCAGTAGTCATCCTAACCTCGGCTCAGGCCATGACTCCCAGTGCCAGATGTAAGCTTGGCCACCTCACTGGCAGAGACAGTCCTGACTCAGCCTTGCCCCAAGGATGCTCGGGGACTGAGGTCCGGGACAATCCCAACCTCTTTTAAAATCTTTGCCGAATAGAAAACACTTGGCCAAAGCTGGAAACTCATGTTACCCCAGTTCAATATGGCCTAAAAACTTCTGAAAAGCAAAGAAGGAATTCTTACATTTTCATCAAACTTGGAATACTTGTCGCTTTCTGACAAGAACATTTCACTGGGTGGAATCTTCATCTTGGCCAGCTTCGCTGCCTGGGAGATACAATACATAGTCATGGCCACGGAGGGGCACACGCAGACTTCACACTGTTGCCACGATGCCCACTCCCAACCTCAGCCAAGCCCTGAAACCCAGATCACTGCAGAAGATAAGTGAGGAAGGTGAGGCAGGGACCTGAAAGAAGGGGAGGTAAGATGAGCCAGGAAGTTTATGGACAGCAGGGAGGCGGTGAACATTCTGATGACAGGCAGACTGCCAGGGCTCCTGCAGGAGCGTGTTCTCCTGCCTTGCTGGTTCCTGGGTTCCAGGGCACTGGGAGGGAAAGGCGGATACAGGTAGAGCAGAGAACCCCCTGGAGGGTCCCCAGAGTGCCTGGCTGGGCCGAAGGAGGCATAGGGAGCCACAGGGAATGAGTCAAGCAGCGTCTCAGCCCTACCCCAACAAAGAAGACATTCACCTCTTGCTCTTGTTTTCTTCTGGCTGCTTCCTCCTTCTTCCTCCTCTTCTCCTCTTCAACCTAGGGAGCAGCACAGGTCTGAGATGGACTTCTGGCCTCACAACCTACCAGGGGTGGACTCCTGCCTGGGCCCACCCATGGTCAGAGGATAAGCCGCAGGCTGGAGGCATGGGTTCAGGCAGCACAGTGTCCTGGTTGTGGTTGGCCCTTGCTGATTCCCTCCCCAAGATTCTCAGTGGCCTTCTGGGTGTCCAACCATGCTCTGGATACTGGGGGGCAGGGGCAACAGTACAGACAGAACCAACATTACAAGATTCAGGTACAAGGGGAAGAAACGGACCAGGATGACATGCCTAGCCTGGGATGGGGGTGACTATGCATGGTAGTTGACCAGGGACAACCTTGGGCAGGTCACAGGCACAAAGAAAGGAGCAAGGCCCTGAGGTAGGATGAGAGGAGAGCAGAAATCAGCATGTGCCAGGGCCTGTGGGGAGGGGGCAGTCTTGGGGAAAACAGACAAGGGACAAGAGGAGACAAGAGTGAAGGCCAAGATCTGGCTCCAATGCAGCAGGCACATCCAAGCAGTGGGGGAAGGAGGCCTAGATAGGGAGAAGCTGAGAAACCCTTGGCCTGGGCAGTAAAGCCTTCAGGCTAGGTTCAGGGGAGGGGAGGTCCAAGGAAACTGCCCTGGGAGGTCCTGTCATGGGCTACTAGGTGAACAGGGAAGAGCTCCTTATGGACATCCTGAGCTTTAGGTGCTGCCTGGCCAGATGGAGTGATTAGGTAGACAGTGGGCACAGGAGCCTGGCAGGTGAGCAAGGGCTTATGGTGGACACAGGATGGCAGCACAGAAGCTGTGGGGAGAGAAAAGACAAGAGTCCATAGTACAGAAAGAAACCCAGGAAGTCCAGAGATCCAGGGAGAGGCTGGGCTGGCGGGCTGGGGAGCTTGAGAGGTGGAGGGAGAGGAGGAAGGAGAGAGTATAGAAGAAAGGAGAGGGGAGCCACTGGATGTGTTAAGGACTGGCGTTAGGTGAGGACAGTGATCTGGCCATCAAGATGTGGCAGGGGAACTTCAGAACTCGGGAGGTAGAGATGTGTGCTCAGGATTTCTGCTTTTTCCCTTTTTGAGGTTGAAGTGTTTATGGTCTACTGGGAATTCTGTAGCGAGGGATACAGGGCACGCTGAAGTAGCCCTGGGGGTGCCTGCTCTACAGTTCAGCTGTGGGAGAGTCCCCTGGTTGGACAGCATGGAGTGTGAGAAGTCATTAGCTGCTGCCACCAAGGGAGGTGGTGAGCAAACAGCAGGAGGGTAGGGCTGCGAGGCTCCACCTGCCACTCTGCAGAGAGAACTGCTCATCCTAATCACTCCTCTCGGAAGGAGGCAGGACGTGGCAAACTGGCTCTGCTGGCAGGAAGGGTACAGCCAGCCCAGGTCAACTTTACACCACACTGTGGCCTGCAAGGAGCTCAAGCTTGCTGGCTGAAGAGGGAAGTTGAGAGCCCAAACCAGGAGGGGACACAGGCTGAAAGAGGAAATGCTATAGAAATGAGGAGGGAGCTGAGAAGGGCTCCCCCAGGGGGCCAAACTATAACTTCGAGGTGCGGGCCCAGCCCCTTCAAATCTCCTAACTGTAAGTGCCTGAACTTCCAGAGCTCCAGCTCTCACTCTCCTGGGTCACAGGAGCGTTCCTCTTGAGAAGGACCTGTACACCCAGTGTGGCCTCTGAGCCGGGCGCTTGTCCAGACCCACTCTCAATTCTGTTCCCTGACCCTGAACATCAGTTCTATCTGCCACCCAACTACTCTGAGTCCCTTTTGAGGGCCCACTGGGAGAGCTGCCCCCGACCTCGTCTCCTTGAGTCACTCTCCAGTGGTTCCTGAATGGCCTGGGGAGTGCAGCTGCCTCCACTGCTGCCACCCTCACCCTGAGGGCCCATGCTGTGCCCAAAAGCTCAGCTGATGTGTCTTTTGTTCCTCTCATTTCTCCGACTGGTCACCCAGGTTCTCGAGTGTGCAGACTTCCTTGCCTGAGTGCTGGAGGGAGGGCAGGGGAAGGGGTACAAGGGGAAGGGTGTGGGACACAGGCACTAAGCTCAGAGCCAGGAGAAACCCACACAGTTTGCTAAGTGACTCACTTTGCTTCAGCTGAGGAAATAACATTTAAGAAGAAGTCGCTTATGAGGAGACACATTCTCCAAACTGCCAAATAATTATCGTAAAGTTGACTTCTTTCTGACATTTGTAAGGACTGGGTTTTTCTGTGGTGGTGGGAATGGAAGCCAGGTGCACATGCTAAGCAAGTGTTCTACCACTGAGCCACACCCCAGCCCTATCACTGGGACTTTTAAGATAAAAGCATAAATATAAATTCTTTATTCATTCATTTGAACCAGGGCCTTTGCACTATGTCTCATCCTCAGCCCCTCCCTTTTTGGTTGTCATTTTTTATTTTGAGACAGTCTTGCTAAGTTACTAAGTTGCCCAGGATTAGCTTGAAATTTGATGCTCCTGCCTCAGCCTCCTACAGTGCTGAGATTATAGGTATATGCCACCATGCTCGCTCAATTCTTAAAGACTATAGTCAGGTGAGGTGGTACACACTTATAATTCCAGTACTCTGAGAGGCTGAGGCAGCACAATTACAAATTTGAGCCCAGCCTGGGCAACTCAGTGATAGCAAGATCCTGTCTCAGAAAATAAAAAGGGATTTAACTCAGGGCGAAGGCTCTGGGTTCAATCCACAGTACCGAATAAACAAACAAACAAACAAATAAGTAAATAAATAAAATTAAATAATAAAAAAAGTAAACTATATAATCCCAACAACATTTTCATTTCTAACAAAATGAAGCTCAGTCAAGTGTGGTGGCTCACGCCTATAATCCCAGCACTTGGGAAGCTGAGGTAGGAGGATTGCTGTGAGTTCGAGACCAGTCTGTGCTACATAGTGAGTTCCACATCAGTCTCAACTACATAGTGAGACCCTGCTCAAAAAACAAACAAAAACAAAACAAAATCAAGCTCAATTGTTTTAATTTTACTGACCCTTTTCTTTTCTTCCCTCTCTTTCAGTAAGGTGTCTTTGTCCACCAATTTCACCACTGTGGGCAGTCCTGAAAAGCAGACAGTAGGTGAGACTCTGGGCCTGTGGACCTGTTTGCCCTGCTGGGCTGCCCCACCCAGACCGCTGAGTCCAGAGGCCAAGGTCCCCATACTGCACACCCATGGGAAAGAGGGGGGCCTGCCTTATGGTGCACACGGGCAAAACCAGGTGCAGGCGGAGCAAACTGGCAATATTCCAAACAAAACCCCAAAATCAAACCTTCCACCAGAGCAGTGAAGTATTTTGTAACAATGAAGTGTAAAGGTTGTGTCCGTCACAAGCCATCGAATACAAGTTATAAACTAAGGGTTTAAACATGAACTATCTCAGCTAGGAATGGTGGCTTATGCCTGTAATCCCAGCACTCTGGGAAGCTGACGGAGGAGGTCTGCAAATTTGAACCTAGCCTGGGAACTTAGTGAGACCCTGTCTCAAAAAACAAAAACAAAACACAATAAAAAGGAGGCACACACCAATTGCCCCGGTGTATCAAGGCCGAGGTGAGAGGATCACTTTAGCCCAGGAGTTCCAGGCCAGCCCGGGCAACATAGCCATAACAAACAAACCAACCCAATAAGCAGTTTAAAAAGAAATAAAATTTAGGCACATGTCCGTAATCCCAGTACTTATGAGTCCCAGGCAGGATTTCAAGTTTGAGGTCAGCCTGAGCTACACAGCAAGTTTCAGCCTGGACTATGTAGTGAGACCTTGTCCCAAACAAAACAAAACAAAACAAAACAAAACAGGAAATAAAATTTAACCATATCTGTGCCGTCAAAAGCCCCACAAAGACAGAAGACAAGCTGTGTGATATGGTGACAATTCCCAGGACACAAGCTTGTTTTCTTGAAAGAATAAGGAAAGAAAGCCGGCAGTCAGCAGAATGAGCAGTGGGGTGGTCAGGTCTGGGTGGAAAGAAACACATCACACATAATAAAGACAAACTGGGTAGGGGGATCCCCAGAGATTCTAAAGCAACACATGAAAACAATGGCCCCTTGGCCATCGCGGGAATTCCTGCCTCATCCTCTCTTGTCCTAACGTCTTTCCACCACCAGCTCATCTTGTCCTGCTCCTGGCCACACCCAATGCACAGCTCAAGGGGCTCACTCACCTTCATGGTCCTCAAACCGCACCCCGAGCTCGGGCAGGATGTCATCTCGGAGGGTATCACTGAGCTGCAGAACCTCAGGGACTGTTGGTAAAGAAAGTAGTTCTGTTAGACACAAGGTGAGGTCTGGTCCCAGGGGAGTGGGACTCCTCCAGCACTTGGGAGAGGGGGTACCAGCTGCTCAATTCTGAGGAGGCAGGAGCCCTGTGATGACCAGTGCCATCTGCTGCCATCACCAGAAGAGCTGGGATGCTCCTGCAGCCCAGGGGAGAGCACAGGCCCAACAGCTACCCCGGGTGGTGAGTCTTTGGACACTACAAAGACAGGAAGAGGTTCGTAGGCTGCCTAACCAGCACTCAAGAGCCAGGACCTGTGTGAAGATGTTTCACAGACTGTTTCTGGGCAGATCCAGGGGCCAAGATCACTTCCTGGAAACAGGCTTTTACTGTACAACCACAGGGCTCCAAAACTATCTCAGTACCTGGTTCCTGGTGAAGGGGTCTGGACTCCTAGCCACCACCATCCTGGATTAGGATCCTGATAGAGGCAGTTACATCTTGTAGGTGAGGGTCTGGGACCAATGGCACACCTGTGCCCTGTGTCACCCTGAAGTCTTGAAAGGGCCCTTTGCTCTCCTTAATAGAGGCCTCAATGCCAGAGAGGTGCCCCATGAATCTAAATACCCCCAAGAGAGCCAGAACACAGCTGGAGTAGAAGATGGGGTGACTCTACAGCTGCTGCTCATTCCTCTCACCGGGAGACACAGCCAAGCCTGACTGGCAGGACACTGCCCATGGCTGACTCAAGAGCAGGCTGAGTGCATGGTGCCAGGCCTAGCCCGATCGCCAGGGGAGGTGGCTACCCCAGATATGGGTCAGGGTAAGCAGAGAGCTCAAGAGAGCCTGGACAACAAAGGCTTATTGGCTTTGAAGTGACTGTTAAGAAGGACACACAAGCTAAGCAGACAGAGTGGTAGGGAACAAGAATATAGATAATCCTTGCAGGTTTGGAAATTCCTAATTGCCTAGTTAGATTCTCTTCTGGTGCCAGAGGCAAAATACCAAGCAGTTCACTCACCCTTTCCTGCCCCAGTCAAAGGACACCCATAAAGGCTGGAAGCTCAGGGGCAGAGGCTCTACAACCATGCTCACAGCAAAGCCACAGCAGATACAGAACAGCTCTCCTGTTCGCCTTGGGCAGGCCTGCCCCTGATCAGGCTGGAAGCTCAATCAGGCAAGCATTTAGGAACCAAGAGTCCTGAAAGATTTGACTCTAGGTAGTTCTGGTTACAACACCTCAGCTTTCCAGGAGGAAAAGCAGCCAGACTTAGTTGCTGGAGAGGGAGCCAGGCAAGTCCCTTTGTGACCAGCATGCCATAGCAGAGCCAGGAATGTGAAACAAGATGTCAAGCTGACTGCCAAAACCAGCACCATCCCCACTCATGGGATCTTGTCACCGGTGGGGAAGAAATTCTGCTTAGAAATGTGAACATCAGCAGCTGACTGTCAGAGCCCTGCCCTGCCAACTGGCCCCTTACTTCAGAGCTCAGCTGGCCCCCAGTGGGGATGGCCTTCCCCACCTCAAGGATGATCCACTCGCACGGCCCCAGCCCACACTGAGTGCCACTGGAAAACAATAGGGGATGCCAACTCATCTCAAAACAATCTAAGGCTATCAAGCTGGAAACAAATGTAAACTCAATGGCTGTGACTCTCTGAGATGCAATTTCTGACTCTTGAAAGCTGGCCTTTGTTTGTTTGGACTCAGCATTATCTATCAGCTTAGTTCTACTTCTGCCTGCTGCACCTGTGCTGGCGGGTGGTCTCACAGCTCCTGCAGGCACACCAGCCCCACTACACTGTCTCTGTGCCTAACCCTTTCTGTCTTCCTGTCCTGTTTCACCTGTCTCTGCAGTGCTGACCACTACACAGGCAGAAGCTACTTATCTGTCTTGATTCTACTCTGTTTCCATGACTGACACCTGTTAGCCACCTGTCACCTACAATGGTGATTTCTGAGCTACTGTCCACAAGCACAGCCACTTGGGGGCCATTTCTTTTAGGGACCTGACAGATGATCCCCGCTGTATTTGATTCCTTCAATCATTCAATGATACCGTTGGGGGTCCTTGCTGGGAATGGGCCTTATCTGACCAATGCACAAGGGGCAGGAACCAAGGCAAGGGTTCACCCGTTGAAAACTATCCCTGGACAGCACATTCATTACAAGGACAGCAAGACATCAGCAGGTGACAGGATCATCAGAACAGGCAGGGGGGTGGATAGGAGGAGGAGGGTGCTCCTTGGCCAAACAGCCTGGGAGAAAGAGACATGCACCCCACCTGGAGTCCAGGAGTCCCTTCCTCTGGATCTGAAGAGCTGAGGCATGAGACCCGACACCCTCCTTCATGATGAGACTCACTCACGTCCATTTAGCTTAAACTTATTTTCTCCAAGTTTTTCAAACCTTTGATTACTTTGGGGTCTGGCTTACTCTTCCCTTTTGTAAGTCATATTTATTTTAGAAGAAGCTTGTCTACAGAATATATGAAAACTCTTACAAATCAACAACCAAAAGACAATTAAACATGGACAGAGCTGGGTGTGGTGGTGCACGCCTGTAGTCCCAGCACCCAAGAAGGTGAGGCAGGAGGATTGCTGTGAGTTCAAGGCCAGGGCTCAAATAGACATTTCTCCATAGATGGCCCATAAACACTTGATAAGATGCTCGATGCTGTTGGAAATGCAAACCAAAACCACATGGGGTACCACTTCCCATCTAGTAGGAGGGTACCTGCCACAAGGTACCTGCCTGAGTGAAGTTCTGGGTTCAATCCACAAAACAAAACAAACCAAAACCCAGAAATAACAAGTGCTGGCAAGGAAGTGAAGAAATTGGAAACTTTTGCTCTGTTGGTGGGAAATACCACAGTTCATCCTCTGTGAAAAAATTTAGAAGCTCCTCAAAAACTTACATATACAATTACCATAACACCCCATAATCCCTCCCAAGGGGTATACACAGGAAAACAGAAAATAAACACAGAGGACCCATGATCACAGCAGCACTGTTCACAGAGGTGGAAAGAACCCAAACATCTATCAAGTGACAACTGCAGAGCCAAGATGCAGTCTGTCCCTACAGTGGAATGCCATTTGGCTCTAAGGACTGAAGCCTGATATACTACGGATGAACCTTGAAAACACCATGCTACGTGAAAGAAGCCAGAAAACAGGGTCACATATATGATCCAGCAATAAGAAATGTCCAGAATATGGAAACCTATAGACAGAAAGCAGACTGGGGCTGCTGGGAGTAAGGGAAAGGGAAATGGAGAGAAGCCACACAGCGGGTGAGAGGTTTACTCTAGAGAGAAGGAAATGTTTTGAAAACAGACAGAGGTAGAAATTATACAACACTGCCAGTGCTATAAACTAAATATCACAACTGCCCACTTGGGTTTATCTTGCTATGTGGTTTCTACCTCAACAAATTCTACATCTGCCTGTGGCATCTCCCTTGGGGTGAGAGATGTCCAGGACAGAACTGGTATGTTAGCTTTCTGTCACTATAATAAATATCTGGGGCCGGGGATTTAGCTTGGTGGTTCCACTGCCTGCTTCCCAAGTGCAAGGTCTTGAGTTCGATTCCTGGTACCAAAATAAAATAAAATAAATAAATATCTGATATAATCAACTTATAGAGAGAAAAAGTTTATCTTGGCTCACAGTTTTGAAGGTTTCACCACACGATGGGTTGGCCCAATTGCTTTGGGCCCGGGGTGGTGGCACATCATGGCAAAAGATGGTGGCAGAACAAGACTGTTCATGTCATGGCCAGGAAGCAAAAGAGTGAGGAGGGAGCTGGGGTCCCCCGTGGCCTTTGAGGATACCACCCAGTGACCCAAAGGCCTCCTACAATGCCCTACTTCTTAAAGATTCCACCACCTCCCAATAGCACCTCCCTGGGATCTAGACTTTCACAGAACCCAGCCCTGTGGGAATCATCCAGATACAAATGTAACCTTAACACTAAAGTTTGAAAATTGCTTCTCCCTTTCCTTCATTTCTTTGGGAGAGGAGTTGGATTTTTTCTTTCCCCTTTCAACTTTTTTCTTTCTTCCTTATATTTCTTTTATTTCCATTTTTTTCTTTCTCTTTTTTTTTCTTTGTTCTTTTCTGTGACTGCTAATACTACTGATTTTTTTTTCTTTTTTACTCCTCAACAGGATCCTCTACCTCACTTTTCTCTCTGCCTTCCCATTTTCTATTCATTAATTTTCGAAGTTAACATTTTTCATTCTCTGGTTTCCCATCCCCTCTACCTTTACTAGTACAATTATTAAGCTGTATGAATCTTTACATAGCAAGTTAGTTCTATGCTATTACTGTTGATAACTTTGCTATTTTTTTTTTAATTTTTTATTAGGGATTGAACTCGGGTCCTTGTGCTTGCAAGGCAGGTGGCGGAACTGCTGAGCTAAATCCCCAGCTACTTTCCTATTGTTAATGGGGGTAAAATTGTTCCATTTTGTAGATATTTACTACAGGTCAATATTTGGTTTGTCTTAGTGTTTATTTTTAAATTTTCCCCTCTATTTTCTATCTAATGTATTTTTCTTCTACTTATGGGAGATCTGGCCATCAACTTTTGGGTTGAATATTTCATTTTTATTATATTTTAAATTTTTAATAGCCTTTTATTACTCAGGATGGTATTTCATAGCTGTTGCTACTGCTGCTGCTGTTTCTCCTTTCTTTCCCCCTCCTCTCTACTGTATCCACCTTCTTCTTCTTTTGGATGGATCCAATTTTTTCCTCTTATTTTCTGAGTAAAGCATTTTAATGCTTCCTTCAGTGACTGGGTTTTCTGAGTCTTTCATTTCTCCTTCCTTTTCCTCCTCCTTTATTTTCCTTCTTTCTCTCTTTTTTTAAAATTTTATTTTCCCCAGGAGTGGGTTCTGAGCTTCAAACTGACATCCTTTTCCATGCTAATATGTATTCTACTACTGGGATACACCCTCAGCCCAGTCTTAGTGACTATATTGCAATTATAACTGTCTTTTCAATGGTTAAGGATGGTAC